AAAAAAAAAAAAAAAAAATAGAAGCCACTGAAGTGTTCATCAACAGATAAATGCACAAATAAAATGAATAGCATTCACACAAAAGAATACTATTCACAAGAAAGGACATTCTGACATATTTGACTACATGGATGAACTACAGGAGAGCATTGTGCTGGGAAGAAGTCAGAAAAGGATAATGTGAGTCTGTTTCTGTAGAGTAGGTGAGCGTACTCATGTCTACTGAGAACGAGGGCATCTCTCAGGGCAGGAGAGCTTACCTGGAACACACAGGTCCTAGTTCAAGCACCATGGAAGGAAAAAATGATAGAACACAAATGATGGTCAATCGCTAGGCCCTGGGAACGGGGAATATGGGACTGTGACTTTGTGATTCACAGGTACCGAGTTTCCTTGTAAGTTCAAAAGACTCTGGAGATGGATAGCGGTATTTGTGACACAACAATGTAAATGTACTTAATGCCACTGAATTATATGCTTAAAATGGTTCAGATGGTAAATTTGGTTGTTTCTTACCAGGATTTAATTATTTTTTGGCAGTTCTAGAGACAGAACCCAGGGGCCTGCATGTGCTGGGCGAACGCACCACCCTAAGCTGCGTTCCCAGCCAGTTCTATCTACTTACTTTGGTACTGGATCTCATTAAGTTGTTCCAGCTGGACTCCCACTTATGATAGCACTGCCTTAGCCCCCTAGTAACTAGAATCAGAGGCACGTGCATCATGCCTAGCCACAATTAAAAAGAAAGAAAGAAAGAAAGGAAGAAAGAAAGAAAGAAAGAAAGAAAGAAAGAAAGAAAGAAAGACAGACAGACAGACAGACAGACAGACAGACAGACAGACAGACAGACAGACTGACTGACTGACTGACTGACTGACTGACTGACTGACTGACTGGAATGGTATCACAGGAAAATGTGAACTTCAGTTTTTCTTTGGCTTGCGTTGCTGGGACGAAGAGCACGAGTGAGGCTTACAAATGCATGTAATATTTTTTCTTATTTTAATAAGCAAGTAAATTCCCATGTAAGTGACCATCATTGCTTCCGTTAACTGTTTTTCTTTCCAACTACATGTTTATCCAAGGTGATTTAAGAAGTACTGGGCAAAAGAGGCAGTGATGAACCACCATGCTGCCTCAATACCCTCACCCAGGATGTCGACAAACTGGGCCAGTGGCCTCAAAAGGCCAGTCATCTCCATTTTGGCTAACTCTACCTCTATTTCTGTGAACTAGTATGTACAGTTGCTAGGACTTTTGCTTATCCCTTCAATTGGCTTTAGGTTCCTGTTTCCAATTGTTTCTCCCTTTTGTCTTAATTTCTTATACATTTTTTTTCTTTCTTTTTCCAATTTTACTTGCATATACCTGGTAATATGAATAACTGGTTGGAAGACAACACTATGTATTATAACAAATACTGTGAAATTCGTATTACTTTGTTAAGTGAAAAATCTGTATCACTGGAAGTTTTTGTTTTAATTCTAATTTGTACTCTTTTAATTTTTTTTTTAAAGCAATGCACGAGGTGCTAATGGGTAGTCTTTAAAGCAAGACCACATGTTGCTGCTGCCCTGCCCTGCAGCTCACAAAAGTATATGGGCTGGAAAAAGAAGCACACTCTGCTGTGAATCTGAGCCTCGAGATAAGAGGCTATGGCTTCCCAGGGCAGAAAAGGTTACACATCAGAGCTGAAGCATTGACCCAAACATCAGTCCGTACCTCACTGGGTTGTGCACATTATACTTTCTGCATACCCTTCTCCATCCCAAGGTGACTTCAGGCCTCCTCCCTAGTCCACCTTGTGGCACTCACCTACTTCCCACCACTCTCGCAGTCACTTGTCCCCAAGCCACTCCATTCTTCACAAATTAATAAAACCAGGGCTCATTTCTGGGTAGAAGCCTTGGTTCCAGTTAGCTATTACACTAGCTGGTCTGAGGACCCTTTTGGTTCCCCACAACTACAAATATGCCTTAGTATTTTTATTCTTGCTATGGGTTGCACTGGAAGTGTTAGACTGGAATTAACTTACTGGAATTCCAATAACTTTTCTATGGGATTATAAATATAAACTTCCCAGACCACGATGAGCTCCAAGAAGGCCTTTCAATACAGGGAGATGCTTTGTAAACTTATTTGAACCTCAAACTGGGGAATTACCCCTTCACATAATTTTAAGAATAAGTGTCCTCCCAGTCTGCCATTTTAAAAAGACTACTTTCTGATGAGTACAAGCAATATACAAGCATCTCAAAATTTTTCAAATATAATAGCACTGGCTCTAACTTACTTAAAATTTATAACAAGATATGCCTTATAGAGAGTCACATGGAGAGATTCTCAGGCTTTCACAGAGAGCACATTGGCCAGGCAATGGCCATGACTCATTCACGTGGCTGACACTGACAAAGGATCTACAATCTGAGGTACAGGATCTCAGGATAATCCTGAGGGGATTTCACTGACCTTATCAGACCCAAAAGCTACAACTCTTGTTGCATAGGTCCTGCCTTACCTTGGTCTTAACCATCCAGCAGAAAAGTATAAAAACAAAGTATAAGAAGTAAAGCAATGGTGTTATGTTGAGCTGTAGGGGACTCAGGTCAACAATTTCTGACATTGCCAGTGAAGCAGAAGACCCAATACTATTATGGACAACTGAACTCTTTTAGAATATTTTTTTGAGTTTGCACACCTATAATATTTAAATGATGGAACTTAACAAAAAAAGGGTATACAGATGAATGTCCATTTTGTATCTGTGTATTCAAAGTGGTTAGGATAGATATATAATTACATTCTCTTAATGAATAGAGTGATTTGTTTTAATGGTGTTTGTAAATAGGATATCATGTCCGCATCTTGCACAGCAATTAACCACTAGGAAGAATGTATACAATGTGTTAATTATTGAAACTGTCCTACCAATTTGATTTGAAACTGTCTCATTGCTATTTGTTTATCAATAAAATTATGGGGGAAAAAAAACTATGCCTATATGTTCAGCAAATGCCCTACATTTATCCTATTTTGCATTTTGTCTAGCAAAAAGAAGGAATTCCTAAAACCACTTGGCACAGGGTTTGTGCTCTCACACTCCCCTCTTCAGGATATTGTGGGTCCTGGCCTAACAAGATCACCAGAGAAAACCAAGTGGAAAGTAAGGGGAAGGAAAGAGACATCTCAACACCTTCTCCACTCACCTACTAGGAAAGCTGAGTGCAGCCTGGAGAAGCCTAGGGATGCAAACCAGTGAGCACGTGCAAGGTATTCACTGGGTTTGAACACATGTCTCTAATCCTGAGCAAAATAGAGAAATGCATTCTATTATAAAAATGTACAACATATTTCAGCATATGCCTGTAATATCTTTATCAATCAGCACTCAGTTGTCAATAACTGAAGCCACTCTAGTATTGATACAATGTGCATGGGGGCTAACTTTTGGCATTCTCAGAAGCCTCCTCTGCTAATACACTGACAAGATGGGCTAAAGAAACAGCCTTTGCTCTGACACCCCATGATGTCTCCCAGAACACCATCACAAAACTGGCTGTCTGAAAAGCTGCTGTATATAGCTCAGAAGTAGGAGTATCACAAAGGTGCAGGTTCCAGACTCACATTCTTAGCCCACAATCCATAACCAGTGAAACAGATCCCCCATCCCCTGACACACTATCCCACAGACTTGCTATTGTGATTCCAGATACCAGATGCTCCATGACTGTTGGTAGAAACAGAAGCAGGATTTCTATCTCATCTGACCTACCTGAGTTTGTACAGGTGTATCTACATGGAGGCAGCTAAGAGGGCCTGGAAAATGTACATTTCAGTTTTCTGTGGGCTCACTGTTGAGCTAGAGGATGCACATGTGTACAAGTGGATCACAAGTATATCAAGAGATACCTGTCTCTTTAGCTTGATAGGTGGCCCCAAAGGGCTATACAGCAGAAGCCCTCTTGCTTGCTCAGGGAAGGCTTTGCTGATGTATCTGTCAGGTCCCATGGATAATAAGCATTAAACCCCTGGCCCCCACTCTGCTATAAGGTTTATGTCGGATATCCGCCTGAGCAGCCTGGCCACATGGACAAAGGACCCTCCGGCTGTGACGTAAGATCAGTAAAGCAGAGTTGGGTCTGAGGAATGCCATCTTCTAGTTTTATTCTATCAGTGTCATCACTCTTTGGAAATACTAGGTATTACAAAAACAATTGCATTTGAGACCCATTTGTATCACATACAAAAAACTCAATATCACATTCTGTCAGTGACTGAGAAAGAATTGTTAGGCTATAAATATAATTTTCATTTTTGAATGATTTCTTAAAAGTTTTAAATTGTTTCACTGGCTACTTTTGTAAACAAAATTTCCCATCAGTCGCAACAAAAGAATCTCTCTAAAGAACATCTTAAAATGTCTTGATCAAGGATTACTCGCTGTCATTTCAAGCACCCAACTTGGTATTTAACCACTATGTCTAGAATGCAAGACCAAGCCATTAAGGAATTTGAAAAATACTTGGAAATTTCACACAAAGGCAATATTTAATATACAGAATTTGTTACACTAAGCTTTATGATTTTATTATGTTGTATAAGGAAAGTACTTTTTTTTTACCAACCCAAGTACTTCACAAATACTCTGCAGCCAGTGGTATGGAAACCATTCCACATCTGTGCACCACAGATCTGTACTCTCCAGGGTCAGAGGGAAACAAATCCTTTTAGAGGTGATACATCTGTTCAGTGTCTTGATTGTGGTGATTTTTGAGGTATGTATGTACTTATGTCACATTTTACCAAATTGTGCACCATAAATACAATGTATGTAGTTCACTGTATGTCAATTACACTTTAATAAAACTATTTTTTTTTAATATGGGAGAAAAAGTATACTCCAGAAAGTCTGAATTAATTTACACTTCACCAGCAACACATGCAAGTGCTTGTCTCATTACACCTTCGTCAGCAATGTAATTCTTGAAGGAAAATAAAACACTGTTAATCTCAAAGGCAAAAATATCTGTTGTTTGAATATGCATGTCTTCTCCAGTAGACTGAAATTTTCTCATGTTGATCAGCTGTTTGCCATGTTTCTCACACTGCCACAAAGCAATGAAGGTTGCTTGTATTAGTAATGCTAGTAAAAGAGAAGCATCTTATTTGCCATGTCAAACAGTTCAAATTCAATTATGGCCCCCAATGGCAGGTCTACATATGCATAAATGTAGCCAGTTTCTTGACTCTAAGTCATAATTAGCCACAAGAAATTGATTCATCTAGATTTACAAAGGCTAAATCATTTGATAACCACACAAATCCACAAGTGCAATCTGAAACGAGAATGCTATAATCTCTTCGGACACAGGGGTAAATTAATGTTATTACCTAGACTTCAGAGAAACAGAATTCTTGGAGTCTTAACTTTCTTATCCATAACATGAGGGAGGTGCCTTGAGTAATCACTCTATTTCCTTTCACTCTTACTGTTTTAAGTAGGCTGGGTAAAGTGATAAAAGCTGAAAGCTGTAGTCAAACTGCTGCATTTTTACTGCCAACCTAAAGAATCCTTGACTCTTTTCCTCATAAGATGACATTAGCTCACATTCAAAGCCTAGCTGTATCGGGTCTGGCAAAAGGCAGCACAGCTTTACCAAATAATTTGTCTTTCTAATAGACATGAAGGAGTGAAGGCCCAGAGATAATCACAAGAGCAGCTGCACTTCACTGTTTGTAAGATAATGAAGACAGAATGCATGTGAACACTTAGCAGCCCCTGCACACACAGTAGGAGGCCCAGTATTTACATATCCTGTGTACCAAGGGTAAAAATAATACCAACTTGCCCGGAACCCATGTAAATTCCACAAGAACCATACCTGTTTTCCCAAAAAGTCAAATATTGGGTGGTTAGGCATAGCCAACAAAATATTTGAACCTGAACAAATAAGCAAAAGAATAAACAAATACAATTGAAAATAGTTGTCAGGTCTAGTTTATAACAAGGTGTGGTTACATATCTAATTTAGAAAATCTCATGAAGTGGTGGGAAGCATAGGAATAATATCAAAATGGCAAGAATTATAGTATTAGCAACTTGTAGTTCATCCGTTTACATAAATATGGACTCCTTGCCATCCACAGATCTCATCTATTTCTCTTATTATGGCCCAGGAAACACCCAACTACTCTTCTATTACAAATGTAAATGCTGGCCTCATCCATTAAACAGCCATCTCACTGCTTCTTGCATACCTGACCAGTTATTTGGATGCATAATCCTAACTCTGTCTTTAAACAGCTTGTAGCAGAGACATAAACATGCGTATTCCAGAGGCCCATATCACCTTGCCTGTGACCTGTCACAGTGTGACTAACAAAACCAAAACAAAGCAGGTTTTAATACATCAAAAGCTAATAAGCAAAAGTGAAACCTATGGCTAATGATTTTTCAACTATGTGGGCGGTAGAAGGAATAGGTATGTGATCAGAAAAATCACCCTTCCAGAAATTTTGTCAGCATATTCTACAAGACCAGTATAATGTTCTTTCATTCTTAAAATTAACAGTGAATTAGCATAACATTTTCTGATATAGTAAACAGCCAGGTTAATTCCACTGATAATTGAACTAGTCTTTATTAGCTATTTTTACAAATCTATGTATTCTAATATGAAAAGGCTTTTTACTTTAATATGAGCTTTGCAAATTTCCATCAGTAGTAGGAAGTACTTCAGCTGCATAGATCTTAGTCTTCAAAAGTGTGACTGCATCCCCAGCACTTAATTTTTCCATCTCCCAGTTTTTGACCTTACCAAAGAAAAAAGGAGAATAGTCTGTGAGAAGACACATACGTGAAATAAGAGCTAGTTTAGAGATTCAAGCACACAAAGTGGCATCAAGTGAACTGCTTTCTAAAAGCAAATTATTACCTTATAATTACATTTTAAAAGTCTAATGAGACTATTTGATAAGACTGAGAAAAGCTGTCACAGTGAGCTTATAAAAACCTTAAAGGCTCTCTAAGTGGTACAAAAAGTTAACTTTCTTAGGAAAATCTTCCCTTGAATATATAATGTTACTAATATGAAAAGGAAAAATCCCAAATAGTCTGCATCAAGAGAAAGGAGCTATTTTCATCGTGGTGGTCCACACACAATTTATTTATGGATGCTACCATATCACAGTGGAGGAGGAGAATGTTTACACTTCACAGTATATGCCAGACCAACAGAGTAGCACTGAGACAGACTCCAACATTATCGCAAATGTTTGTGAGTTCTTGCTACAGAGACATCTATAGAGGTCATTCAAGAAGGGATGTGTTGAGGCCGAAGAGACAGCTCAGTTGAATAAGCACTTGCCTGGCAAGAGCAGGGGCCTGAGTTCAAGCCCCGGTTCCATCAAATAAATAAATAAATAAATAAATAAATAAATAAATAAATAAATAGAAGAGGTGTGCTGCTGGGGCCCAACAAGCACAAGAGGAAGAAAAGCCCTGCTGTCCTGGAGTCCAGGTGACCAGCAACCTACAGCAGCTTTACCCTGTCTAGGAAAACAAGCTTCGGCATCATTTATCCCTTGTTCAAGAGAATCTGAAAATTGAAAATGGCTTCATATGTCTGGAATAAAATTTGCATTTTTATCAGAGAGGGTTTACAGTGCACTAGAATAACATTTTCAAATCTCCCTAGTAAATAATAACGATCAGAGTAAAAGCCAAATCATGTACTAGAGATATTCTTTCTCAAAGAAAACAATAACTAAAATACTTATTCCAATAGCACTGTTGTTCTAGAGCCTGGGTATTAACTTCTACTATACTGTTCTTGGTAGCTGCTAGAATGTACAGCAGTCATTAAATATTTCATTTGCATTTTTTCTTACCAGGACTACATGAAAACCCATTATATTCAAATGTCGCATTTTCACAGCAAAATATCCTCTGGGGTGGCTTGAATCCAAACAGTAAACAGATCTAGGAACACACAGCACAGCTGCTCTGAAAACAAAGATAAACAATCTGTGACATTATTAAGATTCTCAATCCCACTGCACTCCTGCTTTTTGAAGGGCCAAAGTTAAGCTCTTTGCACTCCTGACAGTCTCAGTCCTTCACTTCTTCGTTATTTGTAGACTACAAAGTGGAACTGTATTACATTCCCATACTGTACAATATAAAGATTACTTTATATCCTTGAACCTTTTAATAATATTTTATACAAAAAGCTATCCCTCAGCCACCTTTAAGGATGGCTATATTTTTGAGGAGGAAAATTTTCAGATATGAAGGGACCTATCTTAAAGCTTTCCTGCCAGTGCTAACCTCTGACCCGAGTACAATCACTTAATAGAAGTACTGGTGCAGGTAGCACCCAATGGCAAATGTTTTTCTTATATACACTATACATATTCTAGACAGTAATATTTAAAAACCAGAGGTGGAAGACCAAATAAAAGAAAACCCTAACAGAAAGGCAAGTGTTAAATATGCAAAATTTTAAAATGTGCAAGGTGTAACTTGTTCTTTCATTCTTCTTTCAATCTGGAAATATATGCACTGGGAGAGAAAAAAAAGGGAAGGAAAAGAGACATTTATTTCATTACCGCCTTCTCTAGCTTGGCTGTTATAAAAGAAATTTTATATTTTTAAATTCTGGGGGTCGAACTTGGAACCTTGCATGGCTAGGCAGGCGCTTAAGCCACTGAGCTATTTCCCTGGCCCTGAAATCTTGTATTTTAAAGTAGTGCTCAGATTCTTCATCTCTTAGTATTTTGACAACTACTGTCTTATTTTTATTATGTCAGAACAATGAAGTACCTTAAAAAAGAAAAATACTTGAACAGGGTCAGAAAGTCTCTCCTGAGGACAGGCAGGGAATATGGCTAAGGGAGACAGCACTTGAACAAGATGCCCAGGGACAAGCCAGGGTCTCAGTGAGGGTAAAGGTTGCAGAACTGCACCGTATTGTGTGCACATCTAACAGAATAACTGGAGGGACGACCTCCCTGGGGCCAGCGTCCACACCTGAGTCATCTCTGCGGGCCCCACAGGCCCTGGTAGGGCCGTTCCAGAGGCTGACTGCACAGGCTGTGCACATACCGACTCCACAATCACAGGCACACGCTGGGCAGACAGGACGCTCTCCCACACTGCGGGATCACACATCTCCCAGAGGTGCCCACGAGTCCTGAGATTTACCCAGAACTCACGCCAACACTTACGTGTGCAATCAAGGAAGCAATTTACAATCAATGTCACTGTGCTCTGACCCATACATAGTACAAGTTAATTAAAAGCTGAGGTTCCTCCACTCTTCACAGGTCTTGGTGATGGTGCACAGCATTTACTGTGTGTTTGAATTCTGCAGATTTCTCAAGTTTTGATGCTCCTACTATACTTTCAGAAGTGTATGTTAACCTTGATGGTTCCAACTATGTCAACACTATTTTACTGAATTGTTGGGCTACAAAATCTGTTTTAAAAAATGTTTCAGTAAGTGACCCAACTCTACTCCAGTGAATTCAACCATGATGCATAGAATGCCCCTAAGCAGTGAATTTGTGGAACCAAATTCCTTTGGTGCATTATAAGCTCCATATAAACATTAATATTATTAATGTGAAGTCTTTCCAAATGAAAACTTGAATTTAGACAGCTTAGAAAATGAATATATGTAGCAAGTATTCATAGCAGAAGGTACACATAATACATCAGAAAACTAAAGTACTTGCCTCTTGCTGGCATCCATTCTGATTTCAAAATCTGCAAGAAAAAACTAGTATGAATTTTTCAAACACTGTTCAAAATGACTTTGCATCCAAATGTCTAACACGACCACCAGCACTGAGGTAGGAGCTGAACTCTGTGAAAGCTTCCTCCATGCCAGACAGTAACCTGGGGATTTCACATTTGCCTGTACTGTACGTAGAATCCAGAGACATGAACATTATTCTTACTGCCATTTGATAGATGAGGAGACCAACGCTGGTAAGCTCCAGCACTAGGAGGTCACACAGCAAGAAGCCAAACCCAGGCAGTTTAGCCCAAGGGCAATGCCATACTGCACTACACTGCTGCAGCAAACTAGTAATCTTCTGTCATGAACCAAGGGAAACAAAATGAAGGGAGCGCCATACCAACGTGATAATTATGTGGCAACTGCACATCTTTTGAGAAAGACCCTTTGTTGTCTCCCAGCAGCCTGCTCAATCCTTCGGCAACTTTTGCATTTGGATATGATGGGGAAGATGGCAGCAGTGGCAGGGCTGTGTCTACAGCCTTGCCATAAGAACTATGATCAAGTTTTAGACAAGCATTCAAAAAATGAAGCTTGTGAGCATTCCTCTCCTTGTCACCTGAAAGAGAAAAGCAAGAAAGGAAGGGTATACAGCATTTAGGAAACTATCACTGTCACATTAAAGAAAAACTATTTGAATATATCTGTATTTCTAAGAGTGCTTTTCTTACCACAAGGATCTTGATGTCACCCTAGTTTCTTGTATCTGGAGCAATGCTCTCCATGTGCCAATGTTTAAGGCTTAGAATACTTGAGATGATTTAGCATAAATTCCTCATTTTATAGGACAAGAAATGCCCAACAATATTAATGATAATTAAAGGAAACATACAAACTAGAACCCAGGTCTCCTGGGTTTAAGCCTGGTTCTCTAACACTCTTAAAAAAACAGCATTATGTATTGACCCTTTACAACTCAAAGTTGGGACTATGTGACAGTTTTTTAAAAAATAATTATGCTATTCTCAGATTTTTTAAAATGCAAAAGTCAATAATTTTGGTGTAAAAGTAAACAAATTCACTAATTTGGTACCTATTTAGTTACTTGACCTACCAGGTTGTGTCCTCACTGTAGGTTGTAAGTGACCAAAGGTTTACAGCTGCAAAAGTTGACTTAAGTTGGCTTCCCTTGTGATAAGGAAAGACTAGGAAACACCAGGACCTCTGAGGTGTAAAGAGCAATGACACATTTAGCATTTGTACATTTGCACACAATGGTCACGGCTGTGGGTCAGACTTTAAATGTTCCCCAAAGACCCAAGTGGTAGAAGGCCTGGCTGCCAGCCTATGGTGTGCTGGGAGGTTGTAGGGCTACTGGAAGATATCTAGGCCCCCGGTGCCCTTGAAGGGGACACTGGGATTCCAATTCCTTCCTGTCTCTTTGTGCTTACACCTCCCGGATGCTGAGAATGAGCAGCATCCCCAGCCACACACTTCCACTATGATGCACTGGGCTGCCACAGGCCAAAAGCGATGGACCAAGTGACCGCAGATGGAAACCTCCCAAATCTCCAGGTCAATCCTTCCTCTTCTAAGTTAACTTTCTCAGATACTGTATGTCTGTCAGAGCAGAGGAAATTGTAAGAGTGACAGTCTTTACTGTCTTCTGTGGGCAGCACCTGTCACTAAAGGAGGTTCCAAGGATGCTCTGGTTTGAGGCACTGACCTGTAACTTCACCATTAGGAAGGATTAATTCTTTCCTTAATAACATCGGTTCTATACATTTCAACCACCTCTGTTCTGGCAAAGCTCTCACTCGAATCATAATGCATCCCATGATAGTGCCTTATTTCCATCTCTAGGTGCACTGACAGCCTACCTGATGTCAGCAGCTCATGGATGACATCCTTTTGGAGAAGCTGATCAAGAAGAGCCGAGGGGAAATAATTCATTACACAAAACGAGCACACAGCATTCAACAGGTTTTCAGATGAGACATGGTGAAGATCATCAGTCAGAGCACTAGCCATAACTTCTAGGAACCTTTTAAGGGAACAAAGAAAAGTCAGATTTCTTTTTCTTTTTTTTTTTTTTTAAATATAAACATAAAATAAGACCGTGGAAGAGCTGCTTAGGTGCTGTAAACAACTGCCATGAAGGATCCGAAGAACAGAGTTAAGAAAACCAGGCCTGTAAGTCAGTTTCCCAGAACTCAGGACAGAAAGCTATCTCATAGTCATGTATACATATCCAGTAAGTGACTGGCTATTGCTACGTGTCTTGTGCACACAACACTGTATTTCATAGGCTTTCATTCATTTAAGTCCAATTAAAATACTATGAGGCATTATTATTATTATTATTATTATTATTATTATTATTATTTTCACAACCAGGCTCAAAGAAGATGAGTAATGAGTTCATGTACACTCAGCCAGGAAGCAGCAGCAACAGTATTAGAACCTAAACTGTCAGGTTTCAGCCTCTTAATTACTATGTTACATTTTGAGGAAGGCCTGACCCACTACTGTAGTTTTTATAACCAATTAAAACTCCCTAGCTCTCAAAACTCTGGGTTAAAACAACTGCAAACCTAATGCTACCATCTAGAGCTAATGCTACATAGTACAACAGAACAGTTAAACACGGATGAGAAAGGAAAGATCAAAGTTTGGCCACTTCCCATGCCCAGAGAGGTCAGTCTCACTCACAGGGAACATTATCCACATCACACAGGGCGAAAGTGAAATACGTAAAAAGTAATGTGACAGCGCAGAGGACAGAAAGCAGAGAACAGGAACAAGTGGAAGAGATGGATGAGGGCAGATCCTCTGAGTGGAGTTTTCAAAGTATTCATGACTCCAGTGATAGTGAATAACCAGTGAGATGAAGGAACAAGTAGGGACTCTTATAGTGAGGCAAACAAGCCTAGAAGAAAAGCCCGATAACAATGAGCCTACAAGGTCAACGTCTGCCATCCACCGGAAGGCCCCACAGGCCAGGACGACGGGGTTCAGAGGGAAGGCAATCTGGTGCACTGGGCAGATGCTGTGCATTATGACAGGGGATGACTACACCAGATGGGGAAGAGTGAACAGCATTAATACACCGATAGCTGACCGCATCTGGACTGCACAGCAGGGGAGTGGGGTCACAGACAAGGGCCTGTGCTGCCTTGCTCATTCACTCCTCCCACTGGGCCTGTTTCCACCACCCCAAGCAGCATGCCCACTCTACACACGCCCAACAGGCAGACAGTACTTTCAACTCAGCTTGGGCCTTCCTGCTGATCTTCCTATCTATGCGTCCCTCTCTCTATCCATCTTTTTAAGATCAGCTCAGGTACCATCTCAACTAGGCACCAGGGCCTACATCTACCCCGCGCTCTTCTTACCAGACGCATCCTGGCACAACCCTCCCCTCTTTTTCTACATAGCCTACATATGACTCGTTCACTCTAGTTTTCATTTAATTGCCAACTTTTGTGTTTACCTAACCTATCAAACCAAATCTTTAGGCATGAAGGATTGTGTCTTACTCATCTTTTCACTCGCTGCCCAGGTACGTAGCAAGCATTTGCCAGCTAAATGAACAGGTGAACTTACATGAGGAAGACAGGGGAGGTGCAGAACTCAGTGAGCCGAGAGTTAGGAACTCACTTCCGAATCCCTGAAACTGGACTCTTCTGGGCTATTCTGCGAGCACATGCAACCCAGATGGGTCTGGAGCTCAGGAGTATGCAATGAGCAGAGAAGCACTTCTGCGATTAACTAGAAGGTGCTAGCTAAGTGAAGAAACCAAAGGACCAAAGTGACAAGTTTTTTTTTCCTGCATTTTAGCCCCAGAAAAACAGCCTAGATTTAATATGCCCTCTCCTCCACTGCCATCACATTAATAAAACAATTAATGTACAGTTTACAGATACGTAATATGCTAAGACACCTTTCCTACTAAGTGACCCACTTATCTCTTCTAGTCAGCTCTCTTTCCAAATGCAGAATTATCCTGCAGCCTTTATCAGTCCTGCCTGAGATACCATCATCTTTCCTCCTTCCTTCACTAATTTGCTATCTACCACTTACTGGCTTCTCTTGGACAAAACACAGGTGTCCTCTTAACTGAACCATGAAGGAAAGGGACACAAGCTTCTCTTGAGAGGTCCTTCTCCAGAAATACAAGTCCAGGCAACGGCATGTTCATGAGTGCTCAGGATGATGGCTCAGCCCTGAGCCAGCAACCCCAGCCTCACTATCTCTATTTTCCCATACGACAACGGGAAGCAACTTTGGGGTCTCTTAATCTCAGTGAAATTTAGACAGCAGAGAAAGCATGAAGTTTGGGACACTTCTCAACTGCTATTGACTGTGCTTTCTTTGCTGGACCCTGAGCTATGTTTGAGATGACAAGAACCGGGATTTGACTGTTGCCAACCACCGAGCAGATTGCCAACTACCATGTGTGGCCACAGGGCCTTCCAAACCTTGTATGAGACAAACAAGCACAGAAGCTTTGAGGGAAAGTCAAGGAAGGCACAAGAAATGCCTGGCTGCTCAGTGGACAGCGCAGGGGGCAGCTGCTTTGAAGGTGTCCTAGAAGTGTTCATTTCCTGCCCACAGAGATGGACATTTCAGCTAAACTCAGTTTATTAGACTTTTCTGAAATCTATAGCTAAAGCAAAACCTATAGGTCTGTATGCAGCTGGAGTCAAGTTATGTGACCTGAGGAGGGGACTGTAAATCCTGCCACTAAGACCCTCAGAACTTCCTCAGCTTATTCCTCTGAGGCTTCTGTGTCCTACAGTCTAACGTTTTAAAAGTCTAGTAATTACTTTATGTAAGCATTGTTTTAGGAGCCTAGCATAGGTTAGCTTATTCATGCCAATTAGAAATAATTCACCCCATTTTAGTAGCAAGTAAGTCAAGGCACAGACAAATAACTTGCCAAAAGTTGAGTAGCCATGCCTTGCAGGGATAGGATTCAAACCTAAGAGGTTGTCTCCACTCTGTGCTTTTAGTCAGTCTCCTAACAAATGACCTTCCTTGTGCATTTCTGACACATAAAGAGCCCTAACTGATCCAGAGACCAAGAAAACATGGCCTGGGTGGAAAGCAAAGATAGGAAACAACCTGGCAATCTTAGGCGCAGCTGCACAGTGGGGATTAAAATAAAAACAACAGAAAGGCCTACTTAGGCAGATGTAGGGACCAGGGTTCCACCCTTGGTGTGCTGTGCAGGCCCCACCCCTGGGGCTTGCTAAAACAACAACTGAGACTGGGCATGGTGTTGCATGCCTGTAATCCCAACATGTGGGAGGCGGAAAACAGGAGGATCATTCTGAGTCCAATCTGTGTAGTAAGACCCTGTAGACCTTGCACTAAATACACTAAAAAAGGAAGAAAGAACAAACGAACGAACGAACCGGTGTGGGACCAAAGGCATGGTTAGGACAAGTGAGCACAAGAAGTGCAGCCAGCATGGCAGCAGAGGAGGATGATACAGCTCTTACTGCCCCACAGAAATGACTTAATAAAAATATGCTGGCCACAAGCCTTTCTGTGGAGCCCTGAATCCAGTCAAGCGAGTGCAGTACAGAATTTAAGACAAGCATAAAACCCAGACCATCTCTGTAGAAACAGACAAGATGAGCAACTCTATTTTTCACACGTCAGCCTCCCTCAAGCTGACACAGCTGAGCACCATAACAGATGTCACTGGCCTGCAACTTCCCCCAGCAAAAAGGAGCGGAGCCGGTACCCAGTGTCCAAGCCTTCAGTCGACAGGACCAGCACAGCAGGGATGCCAGTGCACAGCAGAGAATGGAGGGAAAGAGATGACTTTCTGCAAAAGTGAGAAAGTGAAGAACTTGCGGCTTCAGTCCTGGAGCAAGCGAAAGAAGTGAAACATGCCTTCAACACTAGAGCTTTCTGGGGTTCAGTCTGAGGGCCTGGTTCCAGCTAGGCTCACAGCTCGTGCTCAGACAACCAGCGCAAGGCAGGTGCTTAGAAGAAAGGAGGAAAGGAAAAGGGACTTGTGCCTAGCAGCAGCCGGCACAACACTGCAGGACTGGGATAAGGATGAAGTCAGCTCCTTCACAGGAGGCAGGTGGATGCCACGTTCCTTCCTGCAATGCAGCAGTCAGACACCAGAGGGAGCAAGAGATCACAGATGTGTAATGCACACTTCTGCAGAAGGCCCAAGCACAGAAAATGGTTCCTAAGCTCCTCCACCTGTGGGCTGGGCTGGCTGGTGAGGGCCTCACATGTTTCAGTGGTCTATAAGGCTGGGAGTAGAACACAGTGTCAAGCTAAAGGTACTAGACATCAGGGAAGCATAATACAGTCAAAGGAACAAGGTAAATCTCCAGTGATAAAAGAAAAGAAATTTAGGGCCAAGGATGGCTCTGTAGAATAAGTGCTTCCCCGGCAAGCGCAAGAGTCTGAGTTCAATCCCTGGTTCCACAAAAAAAAAAAAAAAAAAAGAAGAAGAAGAAGAATAGAAATTGATTGAATGCCTCACAAAGAATACAGAGAAAGTACTGTGATCATTTCAGAAAAACCTCACTGAGTTACAAGAGAACACAGACAAATGAAATCAGGAAAATGATAATGGAACAAAATTAGAACAATAGATGAGAAACAAAATAAATACACAAACAAACAAACAAAACTCTGCCCTGAAGGATAACTGAACTGCAAATTCACGGGCAGGATTTGACAACAGATTTCACTGGAAGACTCAGCAAAATGACTGCACTCCAAGGAACAAAAGAAAAAAGTGAATGAAAAAGTGTTAAAGTCCAAAAGCCTTACGAGATGCAATCAAACAAATCAATATACAAAATGAGAGTTTCAGAAGGAGAATGAAGAGAAGGAAAAGAGCAAAAAGCTTACTTAAAGGAAGATGGCCAAAATGCATGCAAATTCTGGAAGGGTAATGGACACTCACATTCATAGAAGCAAAATGTCCCAAACAAGATGAATCAAAAGAAACATCAAGACACTGACATCAAATTATTAAAAGTCAAACACACAGAAAATTTTGACAGAGGAGAAAAGCAACTCACCAGCCACCCACAAAACTATCCTGCAGACTGGGAAGAAGCTAGTACACCCAACGTGCTGACAGAAAGCCTGCCAACCAGGCACACCACCCCAGGACGAAAGTCCTCAAAAGTGAAGGGACTTGCAAACCAATGAAACTAAAAAATACTTCAGTGAGTTCTTCTAGTAGAAACAGAAGGACATAATACAGTGGCAACACAATGCTATGTGGAAGCAGAAACCTCACTGGTAAAGATAAATACACAGACAATCCATGACACTACAATACTGTTATGGTGGCATGTAAACCACTGTTTGGTTATGAATACTGTCTGTATCTTGGGATTTTTTTTAATTAGTACCTTTGTAGTACATAATGCATACATTCCTTGTATGGAGTTGGTACATATATGCAACATGTTTATGGCAGTACAATTCATAAGAACTCTTGGAAGCAGTCTATATGTTCACAAATAGATGAATCAATTTTAAAAATATGTGGTATGTATTTAGACACCAGGGCATATTTATCTGCCATAAAGAAGGATAAACCTGAGTCACTTGTAGGAAAGTGGCTGCACCTTGAGGACATGTTAAGTGAAATAAATCAGAGATGAGCTTCAATATCACATGGTTCCCTTATACAAGAAGCCAAAGTATAAATAAAAAGGAAAATAAATGATAACAGGAAGCAGAAAGACAGAACTTTCTCAAATAGAAAGACAATCAAGAGATGGAGGGAAATAAAAGTGAATGTAAACCACTTTGATTCCAGCATAAAAGTTAAGACAAAAGTATTAAGAAAGCTATAATTATAATATAGACTCAGTGACAACTGTCACAAGAACAAAGATCATTATATAAAGGTAACAATCAAATCATTAGGAAGGCAAACAAATTATAAATATATTATATCTGGACTCAACATCAGAGTACTTACATTACAAAGCAAAACTAATAAATCTGAAAGGAAAAATACACAGCAAACACAATAACTATAGGAAACTTCAATACTCTACTTTCAGCAACAGAAAATCCTGAGAGAAAAATCAACATGGAAGCAAAGAACTTGTATAACACTATATAAATGCACATCACAGAAACATACAAACCACCTGCTCCATACTACCAGACAGAGCCTTCTCGAGGAAAAACCAGATGTTGGTCACAAAAAGTCTTAACAAGAAAATCCAAATCATGCCAAGTATCCTTTCAGACCATAATGGAATAAAACTAGAAATTAGTAATAGAAGCAAAATTGGAAAAGTCACAAATATGATTAGTAGGTTGTGGAAAGCCCTGGGATCAATTCCTAGTACCACAAAAATAAATAAACAACCCATATCCAACATCATATTGGATGGTGAAAAAGTTGAAATATTTTTGTAGATGATCAGGAATAATGGAGGAATGCCTGTTGTCACCACTTGTACTTAGCACAACATTGGAATTCCTAGTCAGAGCAACTAGACAAAAAATAATAACTTAAAAATAAGGGAAGAGAAACAAAAAGCATGCAAATCAGAACAAAATTATCTGCTTTATCCCTACACAAGAACAAATTATCCAAAAAGGAAATCAGGAAAACAATCCTATTTACAGTAGCATCAAGAAGAGTAAAATATTTAAGAATAAATCTAACAAAAGAAGTAAGACTTAGAACACCAAAAACCATAAAACACTGACAAAAGAAATTAAAGACAACACAAATAAATGGAAAGCTGCCTCATGTTCACAAACTGGAAGACAATGTTGTTAAAATATCCATACTACTTTAAATCATCCAGATTTGGTGCAACCTCTGTCAAAAATCCCAGCAGCACTTTTTACAGAAATAGAAAAATATACAATCCTAAAATTCACATGGAAAGTGCAAAATTGCCTGAATTGCCGAAATAATCATGGGAAGAGAGAAGTAAGCTGGAAAGATACCATTTTCCCTTTTCAATATACTGCAAAACTATAGTAATTAAAACAGCATGGAACTGACCTAAACATAAGAGAAAGAGGCTAACAATGCCTAATGGGGAAAACACAGGCTCTTTGACAAAGGCATGGGGAAAGCTGAATGCCCACGTACAAAACTGTAAAACTAGGCCTAGCTCATATGCCATGCACAAAAATCAACTCAAGGCTTAATCATTAAACATTAGATCTGAGCCTCTAAACCCCAGAAGGAAATCAGGGAAAGTTTTATGATCCTGTGCTGTGTAATGATTTTTTGAATGTGACACCAAAATATAAACAATAACAACAAAAACTGATGAAGAAGTCTATGTCACACAAAAAAGTTTCTGCACAGCAAAGAATCAACAATTAAAAGGCAAGACTGGCCAAATAGCTCAGCGGATTAAAGCACCTGCAAGCAGGCACTGAGGCCAGGGGTTCAATCTCTGGGCCTGCAGTGCCGACCCCGCCCCTGGGCGCACTGAGATGGCAATCGACACTGGGCATGGTGGCGCCAGCTCTTAGGAGGCTGTAAACAGGTGGATCACTCTGAGTCCAATCTAGTAGTGAGACCCTGAATACCTTGTAAACCCGTCCCTAAAATAAAAAAAATAAAAAAAAAAGGAAAACAGTGTAAATGTTTCTCAAAATTTCTAAGGTAGAAGTACCACATGACCTAGCAATCCTATTTCTCTACTACTAAGAATTGAAATCAGGATCTTAAAAAAGCTCCTGTACTCTCATGTACACTGCAACATTATTCACAAAGGTTAGGATATTCACAAACAACCTAAAGACCCATAAACAGATGAATGAAGAAAATGTGGTGCATACTTATATTTTTCATGGAATATTATTTAGCCCTTGAAAAGAAAAATCCCACCATATACTACATGAATGAACCTAGAGGGCCTTACAAGTAAAATACGCTAGTCATAGGAGGTCAAATACTGTAAGCCACCCCCAAAATCAAACTCCTAAAAATTCGTATGACTGCCAGTGGGAAGGAGAAGGGAAACTGGGAGTTCCTGTTCACTGGGAATAAGGCTTCACTCGCGCAAGATGATGAAGTTCTAGAGGTGTGCTATACATCACTGCATATAGTAAACAGTACTGTACTGCATACTTAAAATCTGATAAGAGCATGGAACATGGGTTTTTACCTCGATAAAAAAATAAAGGTAAATTGAAACTGTCCTACCAGTTTGGTTTGAAACTGTCTCATTGCTATTTTTTTCTCAATAAATTTATGGAAAAAAAAAATAAAGGTAAAATAAAATAAAAACAAAAGTGAAAAATAAAAGATTTAATATATTACTCAACATTTTAACAAAGTTTTAAAAAATGAACTCCAAAACAGGATCTGAGGGTAATAAGCTAGGACAATTTGAAATTAAAACTCCTATACTGAATTAAAAAATAAATAAATAAATAAAAGACAAAGAACAGTAAAGACTAAAATTCTGTTTAATTTTATAAATGCAAAAAAAAAATCCTATTACTTTCTTTCTTTTTATTTGCTTTTTTGGTGCCAGAGATCAAACTCAGGACCTTGTACTCACCAGGCAGGCGCTTATGCCACTGAGCTATCTCCCCATCCTGTACTTTATTTCTTGACATGAGTGACAGTTATGGATATGTTCACTGGTAATAATTCCTTAAGTTGATGATTTGTAATATTTTCTCTATATATTTTATATGGTAATAAAAAAGTAAAATCAAGTACATACTCTTCATTCTGCTGCTTGTTGATGTGATTAAGAGAAGAGTATACATGAAGAATAGGAACAACGCTTTTCCTCGTCAGCAATTCAGGCTCCTTAACAATTTTCTTCATAAACAAGTTCATCAAATCAGCAGGTCGATAGCCAAGTTTTTCAAACAAAATGAGGAGAAAAACAATCTTAAAAAGAGAAAATTCAGGAAAATCTTTTTAGTGACAGTATGCTAACAGTAATTTTTTAAATCTTAAAAAGTCTAAATAGCAATCCAAACACTCCTGATACTATTCCCTAAAAGGAACAATATCTACTCTATCAAGGTAATAAGCAAACTTTTTTGTAAGCAGAATCAGATCATACAATCATTTCCACACTTCTACTTTTATCCAAAAGAGAATCTTTTCCTAATTGCTGTTCATACTAATGATGTCAAAATTACTTTTGAAACATATCTCTCCTGATGTTTTTCCCATCTGAAATCTTAGACTGCTCTCAGTTCACCTCCTGCAGTGTCAATTCCTAGATACTTCCTACACTCTAACATGTGAGATAAACAAAATTTCTCTAATATTAATTTTTAAAAATGAGAGTACAGATGAAATACTATGATTAAAATAAACTTTCCACCTGGCAAGTGTGAGGTTGTGAGTTCAATTCCTGGTACCAAAATAAGTAAATAAATAAGCTTCCCAGTTCGCTTCTGAATTCCCTTTCACTTTTTATCACAATACTTTTTTTTTTTTTTAATGTATTTCATACAGGGTCTACCAGGTCTTACCACACAGACTGGACTTGTAGTGATTCTCCTGTTTTCAGCTTCCCAAGTGCAGGGATTACAGGTGCTATGGTACCACCATGCCCAGTCTGTCACTGTCTCAGTGTGCCCAGGGGCAGGGCCAACCCACAATGCAGGGGATTGAACCATAGTCTTGTGCCTGTCTAAGCAGGTGCTTTTGTCCACTGAGCTACCTGGATGGTCCTGTCACAATATATTTTTTCCCAAAATAAATTTTCATAAAAAACTCAGATTCATCTCATTCTTCAAAGTAAACTATTGATCCTACTGATCTACCACAGTTATCATCTACTTATTTGAAAAAAAGGTTTCTATTAGCTGTTTCATTTTAATTGTTTTTATTATTAAATAGTACTCCTGAATTTAATGGTTTTTATTCTGGAGAAAACAATGGGCATGATCATTCTGCAATAATATTTTATTGTCATATCATTCATTTTTACTATTCAAAATCTAACAGGGAAAAGGTATAAATAATAGCAACTACCCAACCAGAGTACCACATGACTTTTTGAAAGCCAAATAGCAGAGCAAAGTTTGGACAGTATAATTTTTGTTGCAGATAGATCATCAAAAGATTGAGCAATGTATTGACAAGGACAGAAAGAATCACACAGACAAAAGTAAGGAGCTAACTTTTCAAAAATCAAGTTAGAACTGGATTATTTTGGTAACTTACCTGCTATAAATCAGAAAGAAATACTTTATTGATAGCCTAAATTGTTTGATAATAACAATAAGCTTGTCTTCTGGATGGTTAACAACCTAAGTTTGCAGAACAAAATTAGAGAAAAAGGAGGGCTGCAAGGAAAGCCAACATTTTGGCCCTAACCTTCTAAGGTCAATTAAGACTCAGGACATATGAGAACTTGTACTGTAACGTCATATACCTCGGTAGTGTCCCAAATTTTCTGATCAAGAAGATTATGGGGCCAAAGAGGAAAGTGATCGATAACGTAGAGTGTGCCTAAGGAGAGTCACATGGAGAGAAAACACTCAGGCTTTCACAGAGAGCACATTGGCCATGCAATGGCCGTGACTCATCCACATGGCTGACACTGACAAAGGTTCTACAATCTGAGGTACAGGATCTCAGGATAAATCCTGAGGGGATTTCACTGACCTTCTCAGACTCAAAAGCTACAACTCTTGTTGCATAGGTCCTGCTTTACCTTGGTCTTAACCATCCAGTAGAAAAGTACAAAGACGAAATATGGGAAGTAAAGCCATGCTGTTATGTTGAGCTGTGGGGGACTCAGGTCAATAATTTCTGACATTGCCAGTTAAACAGAAGACCCAATGCTATTATGGGCTACTGGACTCTTTTAGAATATTTTGCTGAGTTTACACACCTATAATATTCAATAACGGAACTTAGAAAAAATGGGGTATACAGATGAATGTCCATTTTGTATCTGTGTACTCAAAGTGGTTAGGATAGATATATAGTTGCATTCTCTTAATGAACAGAGTGATTTGTTCTAATGGTGTTTGTAAATACGATCTCAAGTCCACATCTTGTACAGCAATTAACCAGTAAGAAGAATATATGCAGTGTGTTATTTGTTGAAACTGTACTTCCGATTTGATTTGAAACTGTCTCATTGCTATCTGTTTATCAATAAAATTTTGAAAAAAAATACTTTAAATGCTGAGTGAATTAATATGCATTTGAAATTTCTGAGGTTTAATCTCAGTTGATAACATACTCACTTGTTTCCACTTCCAGATAACAAAAGTTGCAGTCACATAATCTGCTATTCCCTTGAAGAGCTCTGAATTATGGTATTGAAGGTCTTTGCAGGATTGCAGTATGTTGATTAATTTTTTGATAGGACATTCATGGATAGTATCTTAAAGAATGAGTTAAGTAAAGAAAAATTATCAGATGGTTTTGAATTCAAGTTTCACAATGCTTAATACTTGTGCTGCTGCTTCTTTTCTTTTCTTTTTTTTTTTTTTGGTGTTTTTACTATTCTCTTTTTTGGTACTGGGAATTGAACTCAGGGCCTTGTGCTTGCCTGGCAGATGCTGCACCACTGAGCTACATCCTTCTTCAAGGGAAAAAAGTAGTATTTTGCTTTTTATAAAATTATAGACAAAAATCAAATATAGACATATTTTTTAAATAAAAAGGCAAAGTTCTAAAAATCATACAAATACATTTGAAAACAGTTCAGATGCTTCAATTCATAAAGGAAACATTCTTACCTATGACCCTCTTGCTGCACTCATTCAGGAGTGCGATGGAACGGTGCCCCATGCCGGACAGAACCTCAAACATGCACTGGCTGTTCAAAGAAGAAAATCTACCCAACTCACTCAAGGCTTTCATCTGAAGAAAAACATGCTTATATTTATCATTTGTGAAAAAAGAAACTTTTATTTTTAAATATAAAGAATGAAATTTGAGAACTACTTGGAAAATAAATATATGCGTATTTATGTATACAAATCTTTATACATTTTAACAGGCCTAAACTCAAAAGTACAATGATGTCTTCTTAAAAAACTGACTTCAGGGGCCAGCCAGACAGCTCAGTGGACTAAAACACCTGCTTAGGCAGGCGCAGGGACCAGGGTTCGATCCCATGTGTGCCATGCCAGCCCCGCCCCCTGAGGTGCGCTGAAATGGCAACTGAGACTGGGTGTGGTGGTGCACACCTGTAATCCCAGCGCTTGGGAGGCTGAAGACAAGAGGTTCACTATGAGTCTGATCTGTGTAGTAAGACCCTGTAAACCCTGTACTAAAATACATTAAAAAGAAAAAAAAACTTACTTCAGAAAATAACAAGTCTTAAGAAATCTTTTTATGAAATCTCATTCACTAGGTAAAACTCAAGTATTTACCTCCAACTTCCTTTTAAGAGCAAATGGTGCATCTTTTCCAATATATTTCATCACAGTTTGTAATATGAAGACATCTTTTATCTTCCAAACTTGCTGATCAACTAGCAACCTGCATTAAACGCAATAAATGTTAATAAAGACCCAGAACAGTCTAACATTATTTCCAGCCATATTGCTGTGCTCTTTACCAATGAAAAAGTCATACCAGGAGATTAGAGTAAGATTGTTATGTATATCCAACAGAAAAGGCAATTAAGTGTCATTCTCAATATCTATGACACTAGATCAGTTGTATTAATTTTATAAATTCCTTTTCAAGCTAAGCCAGTTTCATGTAACTCTGACAGTGCCTAAATAACTATTTTGAATTGAATGTACATCTCCTGACCCCACATGAATACTGTTTTAAGAAAAATTGATTTAATGTAAATGTAGATGTTAATGTTGCCATATTATTTCATATGGAAGACTCTAAAAAATTATTTTGTTATTTTTCATCCAAAGCCACAATTTTAAATAAAGTATTAAAAACTTTAACTGTCAAAATGCCTTTCTTCCCTCTGTTCTCAAGAAAAGGAAATCAGTTTATCTCAATTTTTAGTTCCTAGTATAAGAACAAAGAAGCCCACATTTAAGAAAACGTTCTTACCACAATCCTGTTCGAAGAGCGTGTACATTCTTGCATGGTTCCATTGCCTCTAAAAGAGTTGACAAAACTGAGAGGCCTTTCTCATCACACTCATTGATACGTTCCTATTGAAATATAATTCCAAAAGTACTGTAGGTGATGAGCCCGGTGGACTCTCTCTCACCCAACAAACCAGTGAACTGACGCTTCCAATTAACCAAACAAATATTAAGTCAGGGATTCATAGTCAGTCCATGATAATAACTTCTCCAAAAAAGGAAATGTCACTTCAAGTGAATTTTCCAAGGATTTTTATTGTTTTATATATCAATATTTTTCTACAGTTACCATTATCAAGTCCCTTAGATGCCTGTGCATTTACAACTTCACTATATCCTTTCCTGGGCATCAAGTCATAATATCAGTGATAAATTTTCTTAGGTCCATCTACTGCCAAACTTTACCATCACAATCTGGGTCTGAGGGCAGACAGGTGTCCCAGATCTCTCCTTCTGGTCTCTTTAGTTAGGGTCCTACTTCAGATCCCAGAAATACTAGTGGGCATAATTTGGAAAGTGAACACTAACAATATGGTTTATCGTCCACAGTACTCTATAAATGCGTACAAGAAGTTTGGACACCTCCTAAGAGTGATACAATCTACCAAGGAAACTCAGGCTGAAAGAGGCGTACTCACTGCTAACCATATGACTAACCAGTTAGAAAACCTTGAGTAAGAACAAAAGTGATTAAAAATGGATGAGGCTGAAAGGAAAAAGGATACATTCCATGAAAGGTTCTTCTAACAATTCATGGCATTCCTATCAACATTTTCTGCAAAAGGAAAGAGTACTGGGCTATGTGTTTGAAGGACAAATTTATCAGTCCATGAAACAGTCATACTGTCATCCACACAGGTATTCTGACTCCAGTGCCCACTGCTCCTCAGCCACAAGGCAGGCACTCCCTGATGTAATAAGGCCTATGCAAAATCTAGCACAGCAGAAGCCTAAGTAGGTGAGTGACTTATTGTAATCACTTTTAAATATCTCTATATTGCACAAATAAACAATCTACCAAATACACACGAATATTTTGTGGTTCAAAATAAGAACTAGTTCTTGATTGAGAATATACAGAAATATAGTAATGTTAAAAGTTGAAAGTTCCATATATTATACCTACAAACCTAATTTTTGAATCCTGCAGCTAGGGAGCAGGTATGTCTTATTATCCCCAGGAAGTTCTTAGTTTTTAAAAATGTTAATTATCAATGAGTTTAGAAGTCTGATGTGTCTACTCTTAAAAAGCAAATGATTAAAGAATGAATCCTTTATTCTTCATCTCTGATGCCATGTCAGTGCTATCAAGTAGGACATAAAGATCCTTGTGTGGAACTAAAATTGACTATCCTGTTCAATTTTATTCTTTATCCAATGCAGCTTCACTTATATATTAACCTAAATTACAAACATGAGCATGTTAACAACCTCTTGCTTAAAATCCTGCATGGCTCCAGGTTGCCTCCAGGATAAATGCAAATTCCACAACCAGGAATAGGAAGTTCTTATGACTTGGATTCAAACTTTCCAAGCTCATGTCCTACCACTAAACTTTGCCACTTCTTCCCCACTTAACACCACAGACATGGGTTACTTGCCACCTAAACACACATACCACTGTTCAGTACTCCAGCCATGCCAAGCAACTCTCAGCCGCCTGAACTAGCCAAACTCCTTTGGGATATTGTGCACATAATCTACAGACTCTTTCCTTACCAATGCTCCAACAAACTGCTGGTCACAGAGTCAGCTTGCCCATAATTTCCTATTCAGTTCAAATCCCAATTCTACCATGGATTGGGTATTCACTTAATCGGCAAATATTTATCAAGTAAAGGCTGAGCATTCTTAATTAAAACCTCTGAGGGCTGGGGAGATAGCTCAGGGCTGGGGAAAGAGCTCAGTAGAATAAGTGCTTGCCTGGCAAGCATAAGGTTCTGAGTTCAATCACCAGTACTAAAAAAAAAAAAAAAAAAAAAAAACCTCTGAAAACTAAACTGGGTGCAGTGACCTCCAGTCCAAACCATCAGATAAGGAATGCTCAATCCCCATTCACATAGAGGAATATTAACAGGAATATGACCTTGGGATATCTACTTAAAAGGGCTAAAATGAGAATTATCCTGTAAATATCTGTTTCAATCACAGACCTTGTATACTCCTCTCCATTCCAATTTCCCATCATGAAGCCACAATAATCTGGAAGCCTGTTACATACTCATAAGACTTGATCTTTTTTTCCATTACACTAAAATACATCTGCAGGGGTGGGCAAGACAGTTCAGCAGACTAGGCAAGAGCAGGGACCGAAGTTCAATCCCCAGCACCACGAGCCACACTCAGTCCCACCCCTAAGGCAGGCTGACCCCGCCACAAAAAAGTAAATAAATAAATAAAATACAGCTACGATATTCATATTCCCTAGTATTCAGCCCAATGTTTAACATATGGCATGACTCATTAAAGGAATGTTTACTGCTTTTGTAAAAGCTTCATGATTATAAGGAACCATGTCTGTACATCTCTACTGACAAACACATCAACTTATAGTAGATGCCAAATATATTATTACTGGTTTGTGCCTAGACATCTCCACATTCTCATGTGATCATAGGTGGGGGTTTTTACATGGTTGGATCTAGAGTGTGTGATGCTCAGATGAAGTGAGTGACACTGAGATTAAGTGTATGGCACCAGAAATTAAGAGCGTCTAGGAGTAGATAAAGGCCTAGCCTGTGTATGAGTGCTGCTTGGCCTAAGGGTATGCAGCCTAGATAGGACATAAGGGACAGAACCAGTGCTGCTGGTGTGCTTGCTGTTTCATTTTACTGCTTGCTCCCTCATTGTCCTCTGCCTCCTGCCTACCATGAACTGTTTGTCCTCTGCCATGTCACCCCATCCTGGAGCCAACCTACTATGGACTGAAACCTTTATAAACTGTGAGCTACCATAACCTTTTTCTCTTTCAACTTTTGGTGTTAGGAATTTTGTCTCAGCAATGAGAAAAGTAACTAAGACAAATATTTACTACATGAATAAACGAATCTATTACCTCTATAAGTTTTACCAAGCTATTTAATATTAAAAAGTCTACTTGCTCTTCTGCAAGACTGAGTTGACATTGAAATTACAGGCTGTTAAAGGATATTAGTTCCCTTTTTGTCTCTTCCCTTCTTCCTTTGCCTAAACTTTCCTTGTATATCTTACCTCTCTCCATTTAACATCTTCACTTCTGCTCAACCCTGGAGAAGGTAAATGGGAGCAGGCTTTCATAAATTTCCAGAGCAACTAACCTATTTAAAGTCTCCAGATCTATCTATCTATAAAGAAATATAATATAATATATATATATATATTTTTTTTTTTTTCCATTGATAGTCCCGCTTAAGAAGGCCATATACATTTCCCCTCATTCCTTTAAAACACATTTAAGTCTCTTTCTGAATTTACCTGGATAACCCTCAATGAAGTCTGTACCAGAATCGTATTCTGGAAGACTCCAAGTTTCACTATCGCATGAAGACTGAACAGCAGGTGGTCATAGCGCATGATCTTCATTTCTCTCATCATTTGTTCACAGAGCTGGTTAAATGCAGGGTGCTTAAACATCAACTGTTTTTCATAGCGCTTCTGATCATCAGACATCCTTTTGGCAATTGTCCACATTGCTAAGAAGTATTTACTACTAGGAAATGTAGGTGACTTTGCAAATGTATCTAATACATCACTCAGAGAATTAGCCTCCTCAGATAGTTTCATATAGTTGATAGGGGCTGGTTTCATTTCCTGAGAGACTACATCTTCACTGGAGACCTCATGATGAAAGTTTACTTTCTTCAATCCATTATGAGAAGTGCCAACAGAAACAAAGGACTGTTTTGAGTCAAATGACAGTCTTCTAGAACAAAGGAGTCTGTTAACTCTAAAGACTGTAAGAACACTTAACCTTTCTGACTGAAAGCCACCATTTCTTGACTTAAAAATGAATGCATCCTGACAGAGATATCTAACAGATGGCCACATTCTATTACCAAAGTCATTAAATGGAAGGTTTCTTAGGTTCCACTTTGAATGAGCAATTTTTGGTCTGCAAAGTCTCAAAGAATATATACTCAAAGTTCTGCTAGCTGGAGCTAAAGTACTGAATTGTGTGAGGTTCCATAAAACAGAACCTGCTTTGTTACTCATTTTGTTATCCACTGAGACACTTTCAATGCCTTTCAGATGTCAGTATGAAACAAAAGTCACTTCCACTGTGCTGACATTTTCCTGTAGGGAACAGAGTAATGAAAAGAATAAAAATTAAAGTGTAGAGACTTTTATAGTCACAATCATAGTGTGCATATTATTTGTATTGTACTTACTTCGCTTACCATATCATACACATGTCCATATTTCTACATAGACTTCCAAATAGTTATTTTCATAGCAGTATACAGCAATACTTTTATTAACCTACTTTCTTCTTTGACATGTATACTTTTCGCAATTGTTTGCTATTATAAATAATACAGACATAACATTTCAGTGAATTTAGACTTTTTTGCTATTAATCTTTAAAAATACAAGAGCAGAATTTATAGAGCCAACAAAGGATATGTTCATTTTTATGACCTTTACTACCATCTTGCATCTGGGAGGTAATATGCAAAAGAAATTTGTTGTGGGGATATGGAATGCTTTTTAACTTTTTTGTATTTTTTCAATAAATTACAAAAACAAAGAAAAACTTTTACTTACTGAAATGCAGTGGCTAAATGGAAATCTATCAAATCCCTGAAGATCCACATGAAAATGACAAAGCTATTTCACAGTCTGGACTTCCCTGTTGTAAAGGTACACTGTTTTAAAGCACCCAAGTTAACCACCTTAGAAGTAACCGTTATAGCTAAAAAAGAACAACTGAAAAATCTCTGGGAGATAAGTGTTCCCAAAATATCCTCTGGGAAGTGATTCTTATTAGCCCTGCCTTCGAGATATCCTCAATGAAACCAAAGGGCATAACATTAATGGATTCTATTCAACATTATTATTTTGCAAAAGGTAAATCTGAATCAACCCACAGCTACTACAAAGGGTTCCCGAGGACCAGATGCATTTTTAAAAGTGCTATTTGTAAAATTTGTAATCAATGCTATAAGAAGCTTTAATCCTAAGGGTTATGAAAATTAATTTTTATGTTACAATACTGACATGATGTATTTACAAATAAAATTTTGCATATTTGGTACTTTTATAAAAGATAAAATTGAACTCACAGGTCCTAAAAGCACATTTTAGTATTTATGAAACTAAAATTACCCAGTTGTAGCTGTAGATTAAGAATACAGATTTAAACAGGCTGGACTTAAGAAAGAAAACACAACTAATGTGACCACGCTTGAAAGGTAACCAGCCAGTCTTACGCACCACTGTTAACGTCCTTCCGCAATTGGACTGCACACCGTATCCCTCGTCCCTTAATATCAGGACCACTTCTCACAATTTTTTCTTCAGAACAAAACGTCTAAGAGAAGATGCTCCTAGCCGTTCCATCTACGCCCACGCTCCACTCACTTTAAAACGGAGCCCCATGGCTACCTACGGGCGCAGCCATGACAGCCTCCCCGAGAGTTACACATATCGCGAGAGTTTATGGATTGCTTTAAAGGCCAAAAAGTACGCATTCGCGATGGTTGTAGAAAGATAAATTTAAAGAGAAAAAAGTCTAAAAGATTGGCTAATTTTCTTCAATACAGACTAGGAACCAGGAAACCTCAGAACTTATCAAAGCTATGTGTGATTGTGTACTGCAGTGCAACCTACTAAAATCATAACTTTTAAGTCCTGACTTTTCCCGCTGGGTGTCAGAATTCAAGGCTCCAGCTCCATAGTGCGCCTGCGTAGCTCTCGGGTTGCTGGGAAACCGCGACGCTGTAGTCCCTACCCGTGCAACGCGCTTGATCATGGCCAAATTCGTGATTGCGGGTGAGTGTTGTCCGCGATTTTCCGCAGATAGCTCCAAATGTAACTCTAGCCTATAGACAGACCACGAGAGCGGCGTATTTACCGAAAGGCCACATTGTGCCAAGCACTCCGGATACAGTGAGGGGAAAATGCATCCCTGAGCTTGGAAGAGAGTTTCCGTTTTTGTGGGTAAAGTGTAAAAGATAAGTGTTTTTGATACGGTGTGATTAATGCGATGAGGAAAAGGTACGCGGGCTCCTGGGAAAACACAGTGCATACATTCTTACTCTGCCCCTGGGAATGGGTCTGAGCGGAAGCTGAGGAAGTGGAAGCTGAGGAAAGGGAGCATAAAAGGCTCCCTAGGGGAACTGCTACACGGGCTGTAAGGTCATTACAGACAAAAGCAGAGGCTTGAACCTCGTACTCTAACGGAGAATCTGGATCAGGGGAGAATGGCAAGAAAGAGCTGGGGCTAAATTTGCAGGAGCAGGAGCCAGATCCTTGCACCCCACAAACACCTACCACAGGCGTTTTCACTATAAAAGAAATGAAGAGTGACTGAAGGATATGTTCACTTTTACGGCCCGTAAGGAGCGTGTAATTCTGGGGTATTTTATTATTTATTTATTTATTTATTTATTTTGTGTGTGTTTGTTTAATGTATTTGGCACAGGCTTTCTCTATGCAGCTTGGACTCATAGTGATCCTCTTGTTTCAGCCTCCCCAGCGCTAGGATTATACATGTGTGCCACCACGCCCACTTTTGTTTGTTTTGTGTTTTTGAGATAGAGTTTCACTATGTAGTTCAGGCTGACGTTGAACTCACTCTGTGGGCCAGCCTGGCCTCAAACTCACAGCCATCCTCCTACATCAGCCTCTTGAGTGCTGGCATTACAGACATGTGCCATCATGCCCAGCCTGAGGAACAACTGATTCTGGAGACTGGTTTATAATGTTCTCCTGTGCTTGGTTCTGCAGTATTTTTCCAGTGGTACTAAGCACAAAGGACCCGTGCACAGGAAAAGTGTGACTGAGTCATCCAGGGTAAAGAAGGACTTCTACCAGACTTGTTTTCCAGAAAGACACTTTTCCAGAAGAACCATTTATGACATGAGCCATGGAGTGATTTGAAGTGATGGACAATGGATTTGAACTAAACAGAGAGGCTCTTAGTGGGAGGCTGAGGAGGATTAATGCCCTAGGAGTTTTTGTGAGTGTTGAGGAACTAATGATTGGGAGCAACTGAGGGAAAATGTTACAGTGAAGCCCCTCTCCCCACTGCCCTACTGATGTTCAGGCCCTTTCCCAGGGGCAGATTCAGTTTGTGTTCAGGCTCCAAAAGTGTGTGGCCCCTCATAGTGTATGTGAGGTATTTCTGCTCACACACACATCCTGACTGCATGCTGCTAGGCTGCAGACACCCCCAGCTGCAGTCGTCGGCAATGTGTTCCTCCCTAGGAAGTCAGGATGACCTGCCCAATCTAGAAAACAGAATTATCCTAGGCTCCTCTCTCTCCCTCAGCTTCTCCCTCCACCACAACTTGGCTACACTTCAAGTTCAGCCTGAGTCCCTTTCAGGGGAGATAGCTCAGGGTCTAAGCGCCTGCCAGACAAGTACAAGGACCTGATTCAATCCCCTGTTCCGCATGCTGTGCTGCTCCAGAACCCCAGGCGCACTGCGCCAGCCACCAAGACTGGGCATGGTGGTGCACACCTGGAATCTCAGCACTGGGGAGGCTGAGACAGGAGGGTCACTACAAGTCCAAGCTGCGTAGCGAGACCCTGTATGGAAGGAGGGAAGGAAGGAAGGAAGGATTAAAAAAATGAAAAACAAAAGACAGAGTCCCAGCGTGCCTCACTTCACACTTTCCCTTTGAGTGGCTCCTATTAAGTAGCTTTCATCATTAGCACTTAAAGCTTATTTAGTAGTATTTGGCAGCCTCTGAAAGGAAGTGAGAAATGGCAGTGCTGGAAGAAAATATTCAGTGGTTTGTTTTCCCTTCCACACTTTACTATTTAAGATTCTGACCTTCTATGATATTTATTTTTATTAACATAATAAAAATCAGATTATGTCATGGGCATTGTATACTATAATTTTATGTTATATATAAAATTATGTCATAACTATAATTCCATAATTTTGTAACTACGTAATTTCCATGTGATGAAAGAAAACATGGCTAATTTGAACTCTTTCAGGTAAAGCAGACTGTCCATATTATGCTAAAGCAGAGCTCCTGGCAGACTATTTACAAAAGAATCTACCTGATTTTCAGATATTTAAAATTACACAACATCCTGATGTTTGGGAGGTAAGAACCATTTTTCCATTTTGTGAAACTCAGCCAGGCACAAAAAAATGTGCTCTTATTTAATGAACTGTTGACTAGTGTATCATATTGGCTTCCAGCTGTGGTGTTTAAATACTAAGGAGTTTTAGTACTAGTAAAAATTAGTTCGTACTTAGTTTCAAGACGCTGTATTTCTTCCCAAGACTGAATAGAACAGATGGACCCTAACCAATAAGTAGACTAAGTTGGCTGTTCTAGCACCACCTCCGTTGAGAATCCAAATAGCTTGTCCTGCACTTAAAAACTTCCATTCTCCTCCATACTAAGACTTGTTGATTTGAAATTGCCACTCTGTGACTGTGTTGCCCCAGAAACAGAACTTTAAGATTGAGACTGATAAAGGGATTTTACGGGGAGGTTCTCTTGGGAACAACATCCTGAGAGGGAGTGAGGGCTGTAACAGGGCTGTATGTCATGATTTGGGGTGTTTTCAAGGGGAATGATACAATACAGGACACATTTTGTAAGATTATTTTATAATGAATCACCCAAAGAATAATATACAAACAGCACAGGAAATCTGTCCATACACTACAAACCAAAAAAATCCAGCTGAAGGCCTAGATCCCATAGTAATGTCCTACATGAGTCCAGTTGGAGACCTAGAGCCCATACACTTCCTCCCATGAGCCTAGCTAGAGGTCTAGAGCCCCTGACAGTGCCTCATGCTGGCCTGTTCATGGATCCGCACTGGGAAGGCCCAAAGATTAAGGGAGGAAGCTAAAAAATCTGTGCCAGCAGGAGGAAGGGTCTGTGCTAGCAGGCTGAGGGATCTGAACTGGAGCCAGGAAGCAGTGCTCAAGGTAAGAACCAGAGCTCCCCCAAAAAGTGCCACAGCCATGCTCAGTGACATTGAGGTCCTGAGATCATCTAATGAAGGGGAAAACTGAGTTTCCATCAGGAAAGCCAGTGACAAGCTTCTCCAGGAGACTGAGCAGTGCACCATCTTCTCCTCCAGAGCCGAGTAATGATGTTCAAGGTGAGGACCAGAGCTCCCCAAAACGAACCACAGCCATTCTCAGCAACAACAAGGTCTAGAGCTGCTCCTCTGAAAAGAACAACCAAGTTCACCAGGAAAGCCAACATAACAAGGTGACCCAGCATAATAGCCCAAGAGAACCAACAGTGTCTAGCAGCTCCCCAACAACTTCCAAACAGCTTCTCTCACGTCTTCTCTTCTTTTGCCTCTTTTGCTGCTGGCAACAATCCTCAGGTACACCTCCCACACCCAGCACCACACTAGTTAAGCTGAGTTTAACCAGTTCACCACCAGCTGGCAATCTATCACACTGTGCAAAGGGAGAAGGGCTGTGCTGCATGCCAGAGGGCCCAGCCTGTCCTTCAGGGAGCTATGCTGGGACAGCCTTTCAGAGATAGCCCAAACAGAGGCCGGGTAGCTGAGCTTTCACACTTCTGTGTCAACCAGTAACCCAGTGTGCACGGCCCCCAGGAAAGAGACTTTCATTAAGCCAAGGAGCTCCCTTTGGCTGAGGTCAGTCTTAGAGAGAGACTTGGCATCCACCATCCACCTCCAGGATGCCTGGTAACTGGGAATATGGGTGCTTTGGCTGTGAGAGGGGAATCTGAACCATGCATGATGGCATCTGCTAAGGTCTACCCATGGTACCTTTGGAGCCACATGCCCTGTACAGTAAGTTCGCACCCTCTGGTAATAGCTTCACTGGGATTCCTGATGGCATCTTTCCCTTACAGGAGGAAGGTTAGTCAAGTAAACTCCATTCTCCATTGTATGTAGTTTCAGACCAAATAGATACTCATAACCTCTATTGTCCTCTACAGATGAGATTGCTACATGTGGTGGCCTAGATCTCTGTCCATAAGAGCTCTGAGCTATAGTCTCCTTTCAGGCTGTAACTGCTGCATGTTTCCAGTTACCGTTCAAATTGAGAAGACAATACCAAAGATGCCTCAGTGAATAGCTTAGATCAGTATTAGCAAACTTGTGGCTAGAATGGTGCAGCAGGCATGCAGAACCCTCTTTGTTAGCCCACAGGTCAAGAAACCCTACTAGCCAGCTATAAAAAACAGTTGTTTGTTTCTAAACTGAAACCTCAGTATTCAGGTTTAATTGCAGTGTTGGCACTTTGTGGTAAACAAGTGAGTTTTGGGTTGCAGTTTGGACACTTGTGGTAGATTGCCAACTGGTGGTCAACATGTAATACCCAGCTGAACTGAACCAGTGTGCTGCTTGGTGTGGGAGGCCCGCCGGAGAATTGTTACCAGCAGTAGAAGAGGCAGAACTGAGGAACGAGGAAAGAGGCTGTTTAGAAGCTCTTAGGGAGGCTGTAGGGAGCTGTTGGTTCTCTTGTAGGAGCTTGTCATGCTGGATTTCCTGACGAACTCAGCTGTTCTCATTGTCAAAGGGGCTTGAGACCTGGTTGTCACTGAGAATGGCTGTGGTTCACTTGGGAAGAGCTCTAGTCCTCACGTTGAGCATCGCTTCCTGGCTTCAGAAGGGAAGATGGTGCACTGCTCAGTCTCCTGGAGAAGCTTGTTATGCTGGCTTTCCTGATAGGGCCCTGGCTGTTCTCGTCATTGGAGGGGCTAGTGACTTCACTGTCCCTGAGGATGACTGTGGTACCTTTCAGAGGAGCTCTGGGTCTAACTTTTTTGTGTCACTTCCTGGCACTTTCCCTTGGGAATTTAGAACCACCAGACACACAGTCAAGAGTTTTTGGAAGTAATGATAAACAGGATCACTGTTTATTCTATTCCTTGGTTCCTGGATTCAGATATTTTTACCTATTGTAGCAAAACCTTATATTGGTTTCCTGTATGTATTACATCCTGAAAGAGATGTCCACCCTTACGTGGTACCAGTCCAGTACAAGTACCCTTGGTGGCCTGTCCTGCCCCTCCATCAGGCTGAGTGATGTGATCTAACATTGGTAGGTTAGGCATTTTGTAAGCTTTTACCAGGAGTACTTACCAAAGTTCTAGAAGCGGAAAAGACAAGTCTTTACCCAAAATATGCTGATTCAAATCTAAATAAATCATTGACTTCTATAGAGTAGAAGGAGTCCAATAAGGCTGTCTCAGTTACCTTTCTCTTGTTGGGACAAATGTGCAACACTCAAAACTAGGGAAGGAAAAGTCTACTTAGCTCACAGTTACTGGAGGTTCTGTACTCAGCTGGCTTCAAGTCAGAGGAGCACATGGCAGAGTGGCAGTTTATGGTGGCAACAAAGAATAAGACAGCAAGAGCAAATGGGAGTAGAGGCAGCAATGGCAACAGAGAGCAAGTCTGTCCTCCTTATGTTGCATTCAGGCTATCTGCCCTGGGCTGAGCATAGTACTTGTACCCAAAATCCTAGGAGCACTCACACACATAATCCCAGCAGCACTCACACCTGTAATTCAGCACTGGATAATGAATTAATCACAAAGTCTAGAAGTCCACACCATGACTGCATGAGGCTTTTGGGGGACAACTAGACACAAACCATAACATTGACCAGGCTCCTAGGAAGGGGCTGGCTGGTACCTTCAAAGGTACTGTCGTTACTGGTAAGCAGGAGCAATAACGAGGTAGGCAGTTGGTGAATGGTAGCACATCTCCTGGGGCTACTGCAGGGTTTAGTGTCTTGGTTAACCCTTCTGTGGCTGCAGCTGTGCAAGCCAGCACACCCCTGTCTGTCTATTGCTTCTTTCACAACAGGTGTACCATGGTGGGGACTGCCACTGGGCTGTTATTTCAAAAATTCATCCTCCCAATTTCCAGGGGACACAACTCCATAACATTATGACTTGTAATCCTGGCCTGGCCCGGGATAGGAGGTCACGCTGAGGTCCTCAGTGACACTGGGCCCCATCTTTCCCCAAGTGTTCCAAATGCCCTTTCAGAGAACATGGCTGACTAGTGGGTTTTCTGGCCTTTATAGTACTGGATTCACTAGCTTTTCGTCCCATCTTCCACTGTCTTGCATGGCAGTTCTGACATTTCTGTTTTATTTGGGCCATCATTTTCTCCAGGCTTTCGAGAGCCAGCCTAGCAGTGTGTTATCACTGTCTTCAAGTTCCTGCCAGGGTCTGCCCCCCTGAGTTGTCCATGAGTGCTTTATATCAGTGACATCTCTCTCATCCAGCTTTCCGTTCTACTGTGCACTTGGCACTGTGCGGGGTGAGTCCCGTGTGCATTCTGCCAGCTCCTGCAGGGACATCACCATGTTCTGTTCCATAACAGTAGAGTCCTTTTCCCCCTAAAGCCCAGCACCACTTGGCCAGGCTGTGCTGTGAGTAGAGGGACTACAATGGAATCCTCAGTCAGGCTGCTTGTTTTTAGATATGAAAAAGGAAAGGAGATCTCTAAGACCAGCAGGACCAACTAGCTGCCAAGTTTAAGACTGTCCCCTGTACTTATTCTACACAAACCAGATTATGATCGTTTAAACATTCTCTCATAAATATTAGCACAAGTCTCCAGGTAACTTTCAGCTCATTTAGTTCCACCCTGCATAAGTCATGCTCACCTGCTGGAAAAGCCATGTCAGAATCCACATGGCCATAAAACTAGAAATATTTCACATACAAGAAGAATAAGGGAAAAACGTTTCTTTAGTTGGTCAAATTAGAGCAGTTGACCTTTCTTTCTTTCTTTATTTCTTTATTTATTTATATTTTAGGGAAGGATCTACATGGTGTTGAGGGTCTCACTACTAGATCGGACTCATAGTGATCCACCTGTTTACAGCCTCCCAAGAGCTAGGATTACAGGGGTGTGCCACTACCCCCAGTCTCAATTGCTGTCTCAGTGTGCCCTGGGGGCAGGGCCGGCATGGCAGGCCCGGAGATCGAACCCCGGCCCCCGTGCCTGCTTTCATGTGCTTTAATCCGCTGAGCTATTTGGCCAGCCCTTGACTTTCCTTTAAGTCAGATAGTTGCACTTCAGGTGTCCTAAAAAGAAAGAAACAACTTTTAGAACCTTTGCTGTCAGTGAATTTGAGGATATTTTCATATTTTTAAGTCATTAGCTAAATCATCACTTTTTTACATTTACATTTTCCTGCTTAAAGATAGCTAGATGATATTTCATATATACAATGGCATTAAAAGCAAGCTGGAAAAAAAAAAAAGCAAGCTGGCATTTGGAGTTTGGGTTCTAAGATAGTGAATTGAATTCTCAGGCAGATCAAACATCTGCTTTTTTCTTGGAGTACCCTTCAATAGGAGTGGCTGAGAGATGTGTGTGAGAAAAATAAGTGGAGTCACCAAAAGTCCCCCATCATCTGGAGAGAGCTGCTGGACCGTGGAGGAAAGGGCTCACTCTTGGGCGGATACAATGAGTTCCTGGAGCATGCGCAGGTACAGGAATTAAGTTGACTTATCTGCTCAAAGCGTATTCTCTTACATTGTTCCGTGCTTCAAATGTCTTGCTCTCTGAGGTATCCTCTCACCTCTCTGTCTTGTTTATTTTGACTTCAAACCAAATCTTCCCGTCCTAGCCATTGCCAGGTCCTCTGAGGTGACTTTTCCTTCCCTGCTGTGTAGCTGTACTATGGTGTCACCTCTAGCATGAGCACCGAGATGATGATGGTCATTGCTCAAGAGAACCTGGAGGTGCATAGAGAAAGAGCACAGAGGAAAGAATCCGTGGAAGATCTCGTCAGCCCCTTACGAGTCTGGATTACCAGGTAGGACAGGGAGAACCCAGGGTTTATGAGCTTGCCTTTTTATTTTAGAAAGGCCAGTTGGATAGGATTTGTTCCATGGTGAAAGAATGCCTAGATGTCAGATTTGACATTTGAGTGTTTGTGATTTGAAAGTGTGTGTGTGTGTGTGTGTGTGTGTGTGTGTGTGTACCTATACTTACATATGTAGGTATGTGGTCATATATAGGCCCTCTAGCATAAGCCAGTGCATGAGTTCTACGCTTTCCCCATACCCATGCACGGTGGACTCTGTGTTCTCCCTCAGAAAGCAGCTGTAGAGTGTCCTGCTTCGCCCCTGTCTGTCTCTGGCCCTTGCCCTCCCTGACCATGTCTCCTCCTCTTTCTCACTAGCTCTTCCCAGGCTCTGGCACTTACCCCTCACTTACTCCCCTCCATCCTGTCCTTCCTCCCTCCTCCTCTCCTCCAGGTTCCACTCAGCACTCTCGTCCATGTTTTGCATCTTCCCTTCTCTGCTCTCAACCTCTCTCTGTGTGTTTCTTCTTCTCACTCTCCTCTTTCCTTCCCCCACCCTCAGTCCATCTCTCACACTGCTCTTTCCAGCTACATATCTGTAGTGTAATGTAATACGTAGACTTATGTTTAAAATAATTTCTACTATAAAAAATACAGATCTAGAAAAGAATTGAGACTTCTATAATAAATGTCTATGACCCCAGCACCTATATTAGGTAAAGACCACGTCACAGAAGGACTGATATAGTATAGGTTCTGTTGAAATCCCCACTGTGGCCCTCCGCATACCCCCTCTCTGACTACTGGAAATCCTTGGATGAGTTTCCCAGCTTCCCCTAGTTGATGTCATAACGACTGAAGGCCCTGCTGTTGGCTGAATGTGGTTCAGTGCACCGTGCACACCCTATGTTGACTCTGGCCACTTCAAGGATTTTTTTTCTTGAGAGACTTTGGAAAAGATAGTCCATTCCTTAAAAAGTATTATTTTGGGGCTGGGGAGATAGGTTGGTGGTCTAAGCACCTGCCTGGCAAGCCTAAAGACCTAGGTTTGATCCCTAGTACTGCATGCCATGCCAGTCCTGAACCCCGGGTGTGCCGAGGTGGCCACCGAAACCGGGCATTGTGGGGAATGCCTGGAATCCCAGCACTGGGGAGGCTGAAACAGGAGGGTCACTGTGAGTTCAAGCTGTGTAGTGAGACCTTGTACCAAATAAATAAAAGGTTTTTTTAAAAAACTATCACTTTGTAGATAAGTACATGAAATAAGAGAGCTATGGTTAACTGAAACTTATGTCTTTACCTTTTCAGAGAAAATATAAACATGCAATTAGAATAAAAGGACTCAGTTCTTTGACATTTTGCTTTCTGCATAGAAGGAGTTCTGCTTTATTTGAAAAACTCTAAATCATAAACTTTTAAGTAATTTGAGTTCTTAGATTATTTTCTGATGCTCAGAATAAGTGATTAATTGTGACAAAAAATTTTTGTTCTACTTCTGATTCTTTACCCATCAAAATGTCTGTGCAGCTGTGTGAATATTTATTTAAAATATTTTATCAGCCTTAATTATTAATGCACATAGGAAATATCTACTGAGAGTAAATGCTTAGCCAGGATGTAAGCTTTCAAGATCCAACTTTGCATTTTTTTCCCCCAGCGCGTCCACTCTCACCAGCTGCAGTTTGATTCCCTTCCTGCTAAGCGGAGACGTGTTTGGGAGACACACCGTGATGAGCCTGACCCTGTTCAACCAGCAGCAGGCAGAAGAGAATCTCCAGAGCCTGGCGATGGAGGTGGAGGACCTGGCCTCGCCGCTGCTACGCAGCGTGGCCGTCTGCACCCGCATGGAGGAGGCCTTCCTCCAGGCGCACGTGGTCATCCTGCTGGACGACAGCACTGTGCAGGAGGTGCACAGCCTGGAAGACTGCCTGCGGCAGAGGGCGTCCCTGTACCAGCTCTACGGGCAGCTGCTGGAGAAGAACGCGCATGACTCGGTGCGAGTGATCGTGGGGGGAAAGACTTTCGTGAACCTGAGGACGGTGCTGCTGAAGAGGTTTGCTCCGAGCATCGCGCACAACATCATCGCTGTGGCCCTCGCGGTGGAGGGAGAAGCCAAAGCCCTCTTAGCCAGAAAATTGAAAACTGCTTCCTCCTGTGAGTGAATGAGCCCTTGTCAGGGTTGGCTGTGGGCTTGGGTTTTAAAACAAGATTTCAAGTAGCTAGAAGCTGCATCTTCTAGGATCTTTGTGGATATCTGGAATATAAGGGGTGATCGAAAATTAAGGTGAGACTGTTTAAATTTTTAAAATCTATCACAGTGAAAGGCATACTGCCACTAATTGCCTTCAAAATACTCCTCCTCACTTTGAGCACACTTGTGCCATCCTTCTTGCCACTTTCTAACGCACTTCTAGGAGTCCTCCTCCGTGAGTGTGTCTACCGGATAGCTCCATAGATAGGGCAAATACTGATGCCCAGTGCCAAGAAGGGGACAAGCAGGCTCACCCTGGCACCACATGACTTCTGGCTCTTGCCCAAAGTCAGATGACCAGAAGAGGTAAACGTTTTGCATCAGTTCAGAACATCAGGGCAGCCACAACAGTACGACTAGACAACCACTGAGCAAGACTTCCAGAACTGTTTCAGAAAGTGGCAAGAAGGACAGAATGTGTTCAAAGTAAAGGGGGTTATTCCAAAAGGGATTAATGACAGTGCACTTCAATATTTTTTTTTGAATTGCACACTCACCATAGTTTTTGATGATACCACATAGACATCGGGAACAGACACAAACTTTGATAAGCTGCAGCCGTCCTGCACTGCTCAGGAGGCACAGTGCAGGCACTCGACTGATGAAACCACATCACGTATCGGATCCTGTGTGTGCTCTTTTTCCCTACACCTGCATGCCAGGATGAGGCTCAATTTATAAATTGGGTTCCAAGGTCAGACGAAAGTGAGCACATTCAGGGTGGTATGTCCGTAGGCTAGTTTATAAATTAGGGATAGCAAGAGATTAGCAATGCTAAGAATAAACTAGAAGGGCCAGTGAGATAGCGCAGCAGATTAAGTGCCTATTTTGACAAGCTCAGGGACCAGGATTTGATCCCTGGTGCCATGCCTGCCCCAGGGAGCACTGAGCCACCAACAGAGTCCGGGCATGGAGACACAAGCCTATAATCCCAGTGCAGGAGGATCATCATGAGGCTGATCTACATAGTGAGATCTTGTACCAAATACACAAATGAAGAAAAAAAAAAGAATAAACTAGAAAAAAATATGACAATATACTGTGATAAAACTTATGAATTAATTTATTGCTAGAATTTCTCATCTACTATTTTCAGACTAAGGTTAGCTGAAACCAGTACTCCAAGCTTGCTGAAAGTACAGACTTGCATATGAGGGACTACTGGATTGTGTAGATTTTTTGCACAGGCTTTTATATACATACAGAAATCATGTCTAGCCTTATAAAAATTAATAATGTTTAATATGTGTCTCTGTTTCTCTTCTCTTGTTGCTGGGACAAATACCTGATACCCAAAATGAAGGAAGGAAAGGTTTATTCAGCTCATGGTTACTGGAGGTTTCAGACCATACTCAGGTGGCTCCAAGGCAGAGTGGCACAGGGCAGAGAGCATCCATTCGTGGCTGCAGCAAAGAGCAAGCGAGCAAAATGAAGGAGTGACAGCAACAATGGCAACAGAGATGAAGTCTGTCTCTCTTAAATTGCAATCGGACAGTCTACCCCAGGCTAGGGAAAAGTACACACACCTGTAATCCTAGCAGCACTGAGACCCATAATCACAAACTTGGATCACTCATAATCTCATTGGATCATGAGTTAATCACAAACTCTAGAAGTCCTCACCCCATGACTGCATGAGGCTTTGGGGGAACAACTAGACACAAACCATAACAATATGATATGATCTATATGAGTCAAGGAGTTATTTGAAACTTAATACTCCATTTTTCCACAATAATAGTTAATGAGGATACTTTGGTGTTTTTTAAAAATTAGGGCTCTTTTTGTTTTTTGTCTTTTTGAGACAGGGTTTCACAGTACAGTTAAGGCTGGCCTGGGACTCACAGCAGTCCTCCTGTTTCAGCCTCCAGGCTAGGGCTCTTTTAAAGTGGCTTTGTCCCACTTCTTCCCATGAGACCTTGAGCACTCATACTTGGTGTGCCTCGGTTTTCTCATCTGTAAAATGAGGATGTTAGTAGCTCCTTCATCCTAGCATTGACGTGAAGGTGCAGTGGGATATGGTTCTAAAGAGCTGCAAAGAGTAGCTGGCACGTGGTGAAACTGCTAGAATGTTAACTTTATCTATTGATTTATGCTGCCTGCTCAGAGTCTGCCCCACTAGTATTTGAACAGGTAGACATGAAATCCGTGTAACCGTGGGACTGCATCGCAGAATGGGCACCTGTATTTACAGAGGGAAATCACACTTGACACACGTCAGTTCTCTGTGCCCTCCAATGGAGCAGTGCATCCGCACGAATGAAATGCAAGCCCGGAGGCTCTAAGTCAGGCAGGAAAGAGCGTCAGTGAGCTCCTAACACACGGCTCAGTACTGCGCTGTCCATTTCTTTACACAGCAGGGCTACATAGCACAATCCCTGGTATTCTTATATCTTTTGTGTCCTATGCTAAGATCAGGATAATACTCGGCTAAATTAATGCTAAAATCACCCAATAGGAAGTAAGTCCTTTTCTAACCATTTTATCCTTGCCATCAGTCTTATATTTACATATGTAGATACACATGTGGACATGTCACCAAAGGTATAGAGTACACTAAAGATATGAAGAAGACGTGATACAAATTTAAAACTGTGTGTGTGTGTGTGTGTGTGTGTGTGTGTGTGTCTAGAGTATTGTGGCATGTGTGTAGGGTATGTATGTGTGCCTGTGTTTGTGTGTATTGGGCATGATAACTGAGGGCTTTCATCCACTAAGTGGCTGCTTCATGGGTCTGCTGATCATGTAATTCTAAACTCTGCTGTACTCAAAACAGGTAAGCATGTAAGAGGCAGAAAAAACAAAACCCAGAGGAAAGTTTAGAAAAGGAGAGATATTAGAGACAGTAGTCAAAGTAAACTTGTTGGCAGAACAGCCAGAAGAAATTCATCAACAGCTGAAACAGAATTAAGAAAATGGCATGAAACCACCAAAGAAACCATACTGGAATCTTTCCAGATGGCAAGAGGGTAGCAAACCTTTTCAGAAAATCATGGCTCAAACCAGTCCTAGACCTCTAATCGCAGCACTGGGGAGGCTGAAGGAGGAGGATATCCGAAGGTCTGAGGCCTGTCTATGCTACACAGTGAGACCCTGACTCATAGACAGACAAAAGCTTCAGCACATGCCCTAAATTCAGTTCACATGAAAGCTTGTTCTTCAGACCACATGTAATAGCTCAGTTGGGACTCCTGTGTCACAAGTGATAGAAAATCAACTCCATATGACTGAAGTCAAGCAGAGAACTTTTCTTCAGTAACTAGAAGGAGAGAAGGTCATCCGTATTTCAGGCCTCCGATGGTAGCATATTTACTTATTCCTTCATTTGGCCTTTCTTCAGCCTTGGCGCTAGTCTCAGCTAGATGCTAGAGACAGCAAAGTGACTGTTGGCATCCCTGCCAATGTCCACAGAGTTCACGCCCCTGTAGGAAGGATGCTGTCCCTCCTGCTTGATTGGGCCAAAGGCAGAGGATTTGGCCATGCGCATACTACATGCTTGTTTCTGAGCAGACTCCACGGTCAGAAGATGGCCTCTTGTCCCTCATCTCAGTGCCAGATCCAGTGGGGAGCAACACCCCTCCAAGCCCCTGAGGACTAATTTGGGCGAAAGGGCAGTCATTTGAACTAAGATCAGTTATTTGAAGAAAAAAAGAAGGAATATCAGAACAAACACCACCAGCAGATGTTAACTAATTTTCTGAAGCAGAATGCATAATTTAGGAGTTTACAGCTATTAAGGCCCTAAAACCAATGAGAAAAATGAGACCCAGGGAGAGAAAGCTTCTTTAGACAGTAGGAAAGAAATATCCTTTATGCCAGAGAATTATTCTGCCCTCGTGGAGCCCATGAATTTTAACCCCTGAGGACTCTTCCCTTTCCTGCTACAGTGTACAGAGTAAAGAGGTAATGGAGGAACTAATGGAACCCAAATGCACATCACCTGCTCTCCTGAGAGCTGGGTGGTGGAGAGAGGTTGTCTACCTAAGATCTGTTCTCTTCCTTCTGTCCTCCAGCCTGTCCGTTGCTGTGGAAGTTCAAACAACCATAATCCTTTTCTTCAGTGCTCTTGCCCCAAGAATGACTTAACAATGTTGTCTTGTAACTGTGAGGTGTGATACCTGGAGCTGCTGCAGCCATTTAGGACAATGAGGGCAAAGCCAAGAGAATCACATTGTTAAGCTGTTGAACAATCACATCACAGCCTCCTTTGACTTATTATCTAAGAAAAGTAAACTCTTTTCACTTAAGACAAATGAGTAGCCAAAGCTGTGCTACTTCAAACCAAAAATAATCTTACTATCTATGAGAAAACAAAAATATTCATTCTTCATAATATAGAACTAAATGTTTAAGCAAATAATTAAGTAACTAAATACAATGTGTTCTTGGTTCACAAACTTAATTCTTACCACAAGTCTGCTCGTAGACTAAACTGAATGAGAACAGAGTCAGATTTCCTCTGAAGGAACATTGAACCTAGCCACTGGATTTGATTGAGTTCTTGTACAATTCAGGCTGTGATCAGAAGCATGGAAAGATTTAAGTTTGTGAACCAAGACACAAAAATATCTAGAATTGCTGCAACTGTGCTTTGCATACAGTAGTTCTAGAAAATCCACAGTCAAAGAGTCCTCTAAAATACCAGTTCCTATTTCCCTTGACTGGGGTCCTCTTAACTCCTTTTCGTAGCTAACTATTGTACCACTGCAGGCGGCTGTCTCCTCACCCACTCCCTTCCCCCCAGAGTGGTGTATGTTCTGAGTTTGGGTCTAATCTGTCTTCTTCTGAACCTAATACTCAGAAATGCCTCTTAATTTGTACTACTTATAGACTGAAAATGTTTGCCAGGCTCCTATTGTTATATACCTGCTTTTCACAGGAGACTAAACCCAAGAGTGAAGTAATTTTCCCAAATTTCTATTCAGTGTAGAATCAAAGACACATTGTCCCAAGCAGAGGAGATGAAAAGGGCACCCTCTCTGTCCTTTCTTGCCTGTCTCCCTCTCTTCCTATCTGCCTCTTGTCTGTCTGTCTCTCTCCCCTCCTCTCCCCACTCCCTCCTCAGCCCTTTGCTCTTCCCCACCCACCCCCTTCCTCTGTAATGAGGGTAGGACCAATCTCAGCGGTACAATTTTCATAGGCTTCTTTCAGGAAACACTACAGTATCCTATATTTACTCTCATACCCATGCCATTAACAAAGCACTATGAGGGACTGCCACACCCCGATGACTAAGGAGTTGATCCTCACCTTGTATATAGCTCAAGGGACCATGAACTTTGATTCATTTTAGAGCAAATGGACCAAAATAGACATAAAAAATAAGCTTCAGGTAATTTTTATATAAATGTATTTTATTATGGCCATTTGTTTTTCTATTCTTAGGCATCAAGAATGTGATTATTTGGGGTAACATCACTGGAAATCACTACATTGATCTGAGGAAGGCAAGAGTTTACAAACAGGAGAGTGCCATTTGGGGACCTCCTCAATTTTCTCGTCCTATTTTAGACTTGATTTTCGATAGGTACTGTACATTTTTAAATGAAATGTATTAATAATATTCTGTGAGTGTGTGATACTTGTTACTATCTATAGAATAATCTTCCATATATTTGCACAAAAATAACCTGCATTCTCTACTCATTTCTTCATGTTTTCTATTAAAGAAACTTAGACAATTTCACAAAATATGCACAGGTCAATACCAACCCAAGTTTGATTTTGAAATTGTTTTTATATTTCAGACTATTACTGAAGTAGTCTATACATCCCATTAACATTAGCTCAAAAACAAGTATAATATGTAGAGGAGGGCTTGCCTAGTGCAGAGGCTAAGAAATCGAGCCAAGCTGAAGTATTATGAGAAAGAGGAATTACAATGATGCGCAGGCCAGGCCAGGCTGGGAGCTCTGTCCCAGGAGGGGCAGAACTGAGATATTCAGGAAACCTGCCTGGTCGGCCTTTTCACTGGGCCAGCATATTAGCTGGGTTGGAATAGTTAACTTCCCTATGCCTTGCTTTTCCATCTGCAGTGGAAAAGGCCCCACCATGTGGCCTGTGTAGGGTCTCTGCGAGGATGAAATGGATTCATCCAGATAAGGCATGACGAGGAGGGCAGGAGAGCCTCTGAGGCCTTGTCCAAGCCTGGAGCACTCTCCCAATTGTAGCGTTCCCACTTTTGCCCACACTGTCCATCTCTTGGCCACAGAAACCTCAGCTGTGTCCAGGAATGACATGCCCAAGGCTCCCTCCTGGGGCCTGACTTCCCTGTGTCTGCCATCTGCAGAGGACCTGTGTCACATGGAACCGTGTCCTGTGCTGACCCATTAATGGGGTAGCCCTTTAGTACTGGTCCAGTCCAGCTGTTCCTTGCCTTTATACACCAAATCATGAAAGCACAGTTGCTCTGTAAAATTATTTGATTTTAAACAAAAGATACCACTTTACTGGTTCTAAGATAGCATCTGTATAGAATGAATTCATTGGAACAAAAGTAATTGTTTGTTCTTGCCATCTTTGGCCACTTTCCTGTGTCCCATATTTAAAATTTGGGGATTGCTCCCTGCCCCCTTTTGTTACTTTTCCATTGACTTTTTAATGGGAACTGGAGCCCCTAAATGTGTCAACTGGAGTTGTATTTCTGTCTTGATTGTGGAATTGATTCCCTTAACTTAGTTCCCTTTCTCTCTGTGTTGTAAAATTGTTTCTTTCTCTCTTTGCAGTGAGTGGCTGAAAACTGAATTTGTGGAAAGTGTTCAAACTTTAACCACCACAGGAAAACATTTTGGCAGCATATTGGCTGCACACAGCATCGGTACGACGCTTCAGTATTGGTGCCAAGGTTCCCCACCTGGGGAGATCGTGTCCTTAGGAGTGTTGAGTGAAGGTAACTCTGGGTTGTCCATTTCTTGTAATATTTTAAAGCCTCCTGTCTAGGTCTTAATATGGCCTGGAAACTGGACATACATATTATATGTATTATGTATATTATATGTATTATTAGACATATTACATTTATGAATTTATTATTTTGGTTATTGTTCCAAAAATTTAATATTTTGTATGAATGCACTAGGAACACACACACACACATTACAACCAACCTCTGCCTTCAGTAAACCAAATATAAAATAAGGGAGAGCCAGACACATAAAGAAAATTATCCCAAGAAGTTTTTCTTACTGTACCAGCTGAGAAAGAGAAAGCAAGGTCCAGGAGCTGGCAGGGTAGAAGACACTGCAGGAAGCCATGGGAGCAGTGTTGAGCAGTGCTGACCTAGAGGATAAGAAGGTGCAGGGAGCTCTAGAAGGGAAGGCCCAGGGCAAGAGGCAAAGGGACACAGAGGACTAGCCCTTGGGTGGACCAGGAAGCCCTGGGACATGGAAAGGGTGCTTTCCACTAACAAATGGGACAGTGGAATTTTTAGAGCCTTAATGTTTTCTGCTAAAAACTATTCAGAAGTCTCCTACCAGTTTTCTAAAACAGGAAAAAGAATAAATGATATTCTGTCCTCCATAGATTCTATGTCAAGCTCCTCTTTCCTTTGCGTTTCGCTGTGTCCCCTCAGCAAATGTCTTTGCTCTGGGATCTTTGGGCCTGGACCTCTCCACTGAGCTCTGGCCTGTGAAACTTGGCCACTAGGATGTCATACTGTCCTTCACCCCTGACGTTGACCTACCTAAACCTACAGCCTTGCTCCCAAGTCTGATCCATGTCTTTCCATCCTTGTGAAGCAGTGGAGCCACCATCATCTCCTTTGTGGCTCTGACTTTGGTGTGGGTCAAGGACATGCTCCAAGTCCCTCAGGTAGCAGTTGACCTCTGTCTCTCCTCTCTACTTGCACGGCGTCTCATTCCTCTAGCAGATAGTGTGTCACAGTCTGCCTCTTTAGTTGCATGTGTCTGCTTGCTTATTAGCTGTCTGCACTCTAGGGCCAGGACTCTGTGTCTTCTTTCTACACCTTCAAGAAAAGAGCAGTTTATACCAGAGACACTCAGTCGATCTTGTTCAGTTGAAGTTAAGGTATATAAAATCTGCTTGCCATGTGCTAAGATCCATGCATCACTTCCTAGGAAAAGAAGTGTTTTTAAACCCTACCTTGACCTGTAGAAAAAAAGTTAAATCTATGTAGGAATTACATTCAAAAATAAAGAATACGATATGTGGGGAGGGAATCGAATGATCATTATCTGTTTGGAGTAAGCCCTTACACCTTCTCTGTCTATAACTTTAGTCTGCACAGGTAAAGCAAATAAAAGAATTAATAGAAGACCTGAGAAGCCCCCAATAGAGTTTTTGGGATCCAAGTTTCTGGACCGTCCTCAGGGTTGTTTTTCCCTACCAACATCGTTAGTGCCTAGATTGGCAAGATTTCTATTACTTGATGGAGGTATCAAAAACGAGAGCAGTTTTACCTGAATGATGCTCAGTTAGTAATACATAATACCAGTGTTTTATTTAGAGCACAGCCAAATGGGGACCTGGAAGCTAGAAGGAATAAGCAGCTCTCAGGCTGCTGCTTCGCCCTCCCAGCCCTTCTGACCCTCAGAGTGAAGGCTACAACTGTTCACAAGTCTGAAAAGCCAGAATGACAGGAGACAAACCATGGGAAGCAGACACAAGAAACAGAATCAAGATGTGGCAAGGAAAGGTGGCCTTCACTCCCAGATATGAGAAAAATAGAGAAGGGAGAATTGCCAGTACTTGGAGAAGTGCTCAGCCAATACTCACAGAATGAGTATTGCTTCAGCCAATACTCACAGAATTCTCCTTCGTGGAGAATTCCAGAAATGCAGTTCTGTTACTGAGTATCACGTATCCTTTAGGAAGTGTTTATTCTCTGAGTTCTTTTGTTTTACTTTGCCTTTTGTTTGCTTACTACAGGCCAGTTTGGTATTCCTGAAGGGATTGTTTTCTCTATGCCTGTGAAATTTGAAAATGGAACTTGGGTAGTTCTTACAGATCTCAAAGATACTGAAATAAGTAAAGAAATGATGATGGAAATGACGAGTGATCTAATTCAGGTAATCTCAAGAGCACACACAGGGATCTGACTTTGTTAATGACTAAAAACTGATTCCCCTCAACCAAGGCATCCATTATTCTTCTCTGGGTTCAATTTATAACTTATTCCTAAAGATAATGAGGCAATGAAAGTTTTTAAACATCAGCAGATGCTGTCCCCACCCCTGGGGTGCGATTGAGACTGGGCGTGGTTACGTGGGCCTGTAATCCCAGCTCTTGGGAGGCTGAAAACAAGAGAATCACTATTGAATCCCATCAGTGTAGTGAGACCCTATAGACCCTGTAGATCCTGTACTAAATACATTTTTAAAAAATCAGCAGAACACTTCTCATTTGGCTATAGAATTTCTGGGATGCTAAGAATATTTGTAGCCGATTTAAAATCTAGAATTAAGGTATTTCCGTATTAAAGAATGATTAAGTTAGTAATTGTGGTCATTTAACTGATTATGCAATTTTTCAACAGGAAAAACTTGTTGCACTTGGAGAGCTGCTGACTTTTCAGCCACACAAATCAGGTGATAATTCCTTGGATGTGATGCTTCATTAGGCTGCTGTTAAGAAAGAATTAAATACTTCCTATAACTTAACCCAATAATGTAGATGACACTAATCCATATTTTGTCATTTTTAACTAAATTACTGATAAAATAAGCTGCCAAGTTCAGTGTGTCTTTTGAAATAAAATATAAAAATGCTAAGGAAATCGCATCATAAAAACACTATGGCCTTATAAGTTTGCATATATCATGTATGTATTCATTTTCTACAGCTACTATAGCAGACTACCACAAACCTTGGTTGCTTAAAACAACAGAATTACTTAAGACTTAGGTTTTGGTGTCATCAGGACTAGGTTCCCTCTGAAGGCTCTGGAAAGGAATCTGCCCTTCCTGCTTTCAGCCTTTGGGCTTAGAGCTATATCACTCCAATCTCTGCTTCTTTTGTATCTGTCTTCCTCTTGCACCTGTGTCTCCAGGTCTCTCCTACTCCCTCTGTACCTGTGTCTCCACTGTCTCTCTCCCTCTGCACCTGTGTCTCCAGCTCTCTCTCTTTCTTTCCATATAAGGATACTGAGCATTCATTTATGCCCTGTCTCTCCAATGTAATAATGACCCTGTCTTAAATTCAGCCTTAAATGTCTACTGAGATCTAGTTTCTAGAGAATGCCACATTCACATGTTCCAGGGCTTAAGACTGCACTAGATCTTTTTGGGAGCACAGTTCAGTCCAAATGTTTATTTTTCTAGTAACTTTATTTAAAACATCCATAAATTTCAGTAAGCTTATTTTTCTCACAATCATTTTCTCTAATTTCAATGCATTGGGAAATGCTGTCATTTTTGTTTTTTCTTTTGACCTAAAGAAAACCCAAATATTGATATTGAAGTAGACATGAAGAAATAAACCTAGTTGTACAAATAACTTTAATCAAATATCTTTTTGAGTCCAACATTCTTCCTTCCTGCTAATATTTATGTACTAATAGTCGAGAAATTGCCTTCTCTGGAGATGCAGGGGTGGATAAGATAGACCCGATTTTGCTTTTGCTTTCTTGGAGATTGCACTACATTACAGAGCCACACATGATGAAGGTGACCTCATTGGGGTGCATCTTAGGTAAGAGAAGTAAAGGGAGCTGTACTGGGACACCTTAGGCCTAGGGACAGAAGGGAAGAAGTTGGGGCAGAAATGCACAGATCAGCTTGTTTTGAAAAACTTGTTTGTCTGAAGCCTAAACAGATGGAGCTGAGGTAGGGCCACTGGGACTAGGTGTGAGAACTATAGATCTTTGCATTAAGGAGGATACACTCCAGAGCAGCTGACAGAGAAGGGTGTGAAAGAGGCAGTCATAAAGGTCTGATGAGCCCCTGAAATCGATCAGGTGTGTGATTTGTTTGAAAAACATAGTGGAAGGGATGCTTATAGCCAGGACTAGAGGCCATCAAAATCTGAAAGATATTTAGGAGAGATAATTACCAAGATATGATGGTGGCTTGTCCTAAGGACCAAGGCATCTTATTGTTGAGTAAATGGGTATATTTATTATGGGATAGATAAATGGTAAAAGGTCATTTTCATTATGTGCAAGAGAAAGTGTACATGAGCATGTGTGCGTGTGTGTGTGGGGGGGGACAGGAGGAGACTGGTACCAGACTACATGAAAAATGAGTTTAGTTCTTACATTCTGATTATGAATACCCATGTGATGTCTAAAATATCCATCCAAAAGCTGCATACTTCCTGGAGCTCAAAAAGATTGGGACAGCAGGTATCAGATTAGTAAGTTACTGAGTTATAAGTAGAAAAGAAACTATGAGTATGATGAAAATTATGTAATAGAAAATGGAAGACGGAGGCCTAGAGGACCTGGAGGGAGGTCAGGTGTGGTGGTTACATAGACAAGAGCAGCTGCCAGAGGAGCATGAGACAATGGAACCTGAGAGCTGAGGTTTTGGGAGGTGTACAGGCAGAGAGTGTTTTAAGAATGAGAGCTGGCCTGTGTGGGCACATGCTACTGGCATGTCAAGTAAGATGCAACCTGAAAGGTATTCAGTGGATTTAATGACAAGGATTATTTGTGACTTTGATGGGAACAATTCTGTGCAATGGGGAGGGTAGAAATGAGACCACTGTGAAAGGGAGACCCTCCACCTAGGTGCCACAGTCCCACTGCGGAGCTCATGTGCTTAGTGCTGTGAGCCAGAGGAACGTGCTGGATGAAATGGGAGCAGTCTTCATCAGGATGTTGACGTGGTGCAGTGGGAGCCTTCTTAGAACCTTCTGGAAAGGGTTTTAGGCAAGAAAGTAATAGCAAATTCTAAGCTTAGAGCTCTGTTTATGAGTAAGATGAATTGAAGAAAGATAAGAAGCAGGAAGACCTTGTCTTAGTTACTTTTTACCTGTTGAATATCCGACACTCAAAATGAAGGAAGGAAAGGTTTATTTAGCTCACAGTTTCTGAAGGTTTCAGTTCTTACTCAGTTGTCTCCAAGGCAAAGGACAGCAGCTCATGGTGACAGAAAACAGTCAAGAGCAGAGGAGGAGCAACAGCTTCAGCTCCATCAAGCCTCTCTTCCTTCTACACTGACTGCAAGGACCGGCACTCCACCATGAAGATCTAAGGTCCTCTGAAGTGGCGTTGACAAAGACCCAGACTTCTCCAAGGAAGCAGTGTAGGGGCGGCCCGTGGAGGAGCCTTCTTCAACTCCTTTATATATACTTTTTGTGCTGAGTCACTCTGGGGTGGCCCCGTTGAGCCCTAAAGTGGAACCGATTGTGCCCCAGGGTCGCCCTTCCCGCCCTGCAGGGCCAGGCCCCCACAGCCAGGAACCTCAGAAAGCTGATGGAGCCAAGCTTCCTCAAGTTGACACAGATGTATCAGCTACCACAGAGCAGTTCTGCTGCATGTAGATAAATGAGAGCCTGACCAAGCTGTGCCCCTGGGGATATGGTAAAGAAGCTAGATTTCAAAGACCTACCACTGGAGAACTTGACTAGTCAGGAATAGAAAGCAAGAGAGCTCAAGGGAATCATGAATGTGCCAATGTTTGTGCTATCAGAACATAAGGTAGATCACCTTCTGAGGCAGAGTTTTGGTAACAGTGGACCACAAAAGGGTTAGGTATATGGACGGAGTGATTTCCTCAGCTCTAGGGGTGCAGAATTGAGAATAGCTGGAGTCTCCAGGCTGGTTGCCTCTATAGTCTGTGTTATTTTACCCCTGTGCTAAGTCATGAAAATGACTGGGAAGGGGTAGCTAAGGCAAGGCATAAAATTGAAGGAGCAGATTTTCAGGGGTCCTTCAAGTGGAAGTATGTGATGAATTATTGGTGTATCTCTGGAGCCTAGGAGAGGGATCTCAGCTGGACACGAGAGCAGGGAGTGCCCTGATGACCATAGTGACCTCCTGGAGGAGATGCTGAGTGGCTAGGGAAGGAAGGATTGATTCACTCCCTGTTCTCCCAGGCCTTTTGGATTTGGTTCTCTGTGCATGATTTACACATCCCAAAATAAAACAAGTGGAGACGTACCCAGATGGATGTTAATATTTAACCACTATTAGACAGTGGGAGGTAGAGAAGCATGAGAAAGGTCCTTAAGCCATTGGCAAAACCTGAGCTCCAGGGCACAGAATGGGTTTCAAATGAGAAGCACCTCACTGCTGAGGCTGAAGGGAAGTGGAAGAGATGATAGCTGCAGAGGCATGTGGGAATGGAGCATGGAAGGATGCAAGATAAAGCCAAGACCAGATCCAGAGCATCGAAGTTGAGAAAGCCTGAGGTTTAAAGGATGGAGGTCAAAGTTTAAAATAACTGCTACAGAGTAGGGAAAGATATGACCCTGAAAAAGCATAGAATTGTTTTTCAGGCATGAGAGTCAGTGGCTGTCACACTGTGAACTCGTAAATACTCAGCTTCTCGGAAATAGCAGTAGAACACAACATGCCTGATGTGTAGTGAAGGCCTCAGTATGAGGCCATGGCCACTCATGCCATTAGAACAAATTCAGTGAAAATAAGAGTAACACTGCACTCTATTCCAACAAAAAGCTGAGGTTTTCTATACTGACTTTATTTGGAATATCAAATTACTTCCAAAACATATTTTTCTCATATTTGTGTTCTTCTCTTACTGGTGATGCCTTAAATAGATATGATGTGATTCTAGTTATCAGAACTAAATATGGGGATGGAAAATGAGTCCTGTTTTGTTATTTTACTTAGCATTTGAGGAGGAAGAAATGGAAGCAAAGAAGTTGAGGTAGCATAAGAAGCAGATTACATTATGGGCTTTTAAGATGTATATTACATACAGAAGGAAAAATCCAGAGAAGTAAAAGAGCCCAGCCAGTACTGATACAGCAAGTATCTAACAACTAGAATGATGCAGATTCAAGCAACAGAAATAGCTTCTGTCTTTTGGAACTGACTTGTGAAAAGAATCTGGCAGAAGACTGGGGGGACTCAGATGCAGACCAAAGATTCCATGAGGCCAAAGAACAGGCAGAAGGAGAAAGGGCAAAGAGACATTAAGGTAAAGCCTATGAGCAGAGAGTGGGCTCTGGGAATTCAGAGGCTATTCTGGCTGATGGTCATGTCACCAGAAGTGAACCAAATAAAACAGAAGTCAGAGGTGGGAAGATGGTAGAGACACATACTGAAACTCCCTCAAAGGATATCAATCTCCCACCTGGCAATATGGCACATGGATGAAAGCTATTCTGATGAAGAATAGCTCTGGGAGTTCAGGAGCTCTGGGATGACCTAGTGCTCTCTGTTGGACAAAAGGCTATTAGTCCAAGAGTTCATCACTTTTATTAGTATCAAGGTCCCATGGCATCAGTTGAGATGCTATCTTATATCTTAGCCCTGAAATCCACAGGGTCTTGCTTGCATCTCCATTCCAGCCATGAGTGGTGGTAATAGGGAACTCTTACCCTCATGCTACTATGAGATTCTGCAACTTGACTGGATTTGATCATATTCTTTTGGCCAATTAAGGGAACATTTGCTTCTAATTAGCCAGCTCTGCATATCTCAGTGAATACAGTTGAAGTAAAGGTCAGGTAAAGATCAAGGCAAGAGGCTTGTTTCTCAGCAGAGCACAGCTTGGTGGTCCCCCATAGGTCCAGGCAGAGAAGGCTATGTAAAAGTTCAACAGGAGGTTGTTTTTAAGTTGAACTCTTATTCTCATATTTGGAGGCCTTCTTGGTAGCTTTCTACATTTAATAGGCTAGAGTAACAACTCCTTTCATCGTAATTTGTTACAAAACTGTCACCCTAAATTTGACTTCGTTGAGTAGTAGGTAGCCCTTAATTTTCCATCTACATCTATATTATAGAGATTAGTGAAGTCAATTCCCCTGTCTTACATCTCATGTTCTAGTTAACAAAGGCTACCATATATATTATTGAACTTGACTGTGTTACTTTTAGATTCTGACCCCTCATCCCCACCTCAAGGAAGAACCACTATGCAAGGGATTTCAGACTCAGCATTGAAAATAATAAAACATTGCACCCTTTCACAGTTTGGAGATCTTTGCTTAATAGCTTATCAATGAATTGGTTCATGTATGAGGTTTGTTAAATCCTTGCAATTAATTTAATGCATAATTTTCTGGCTTTCAGAAAATGAAGTACAAAAAAGAGATGAAAACATTTCATCTATCACTGAAGACCAGGAAGAACGCAAGCTTTCAAATGGTAGGTACACTCAAAACAGAAAACCCAATCTTTTTAATCAAAAGATTAACATTACATTTCAAAGAAAGGAATTTGATCATTTTTTAACCATAAAATAGGAGGTAAGCCATTATCATCCTTAGCTTGTACTCAGAAGCATCATATTTAAATAATCTTTAAATCTTTGAAGGAAATGACTATTTTCTGTGTCCTGGTTTCTGTGAGACATCTTGGGGAACACCATAAGGGGCAATGGCAACACAAACTTTCTGAGAGAAAGCAAAAAAGAGCCTAGGGAATGCTAGGATACAGATGAACTAAAAAGCATAACAGACAAAGCACATCAAAGGGCAAAGAAGTACACAATAAGCAATCTAAAAACTCATAAGAAAAAGAAACACCCTTCAATGTAGGAAGGAGAAAACAATCATTCCTTCAAATCTGCCTGAGATGTAGAAGATGGGCAAGACAATGATCCTGAGAATCTCCAGAAGATTTTTGAAACTAGCAGTTAATTGGAAAGATTCTCACCCTGACTAACTATATATACTGACACCTGTGAACTAAGCAACTGCATTGAACATGGCAATTTGTAATATTAGGTTCATGCTTGGAGTGCCTGTCATTCTGGTCTTCTGAATACGGGCTGCTTGTCATGACATGCCAGTTGCTGCTTGCTGTCTCTCAGGTAGATGATTGTTCAAAAAGAAGGGGGTGGTGAAGGAAGGCAGGAGACAGGAAAAGGTATGTTGTGGAACTGTCCTGCTTCAAGATTGTATATGGTTAGATTTTTGGACTTATGTGTAAACATAAGAAGTATATAATTCTTTATGCCTATTTTTAAAATATATTCTAATTTTTAAATGTTTTTTCATCATATTCTGTAGGGACTTAAAGTTCAACATATCAATACTTGATGAAAAATACTTGTTCCATGTTATGCCTAAGATGTTTGATATTCAGACAGATAGTGAAGCTAAGCTTAACAGCCTAGGCTGTATGGTAATAACAATAATCTCTTCTGGAGGGTTAATAACCTAAGTTTGCAGACCAAAATTAGAGGAAAAGGAGGGCCACAAAGAAAGCCAACATTTTGTCCTTAGCCTTCCAAGGTCAATTAAGACTCAGGACATGTGAGAACTTGTCCTGTAATGTCATGTAACTCGATTGTGTCCCAAATTTTCTGATCAAGGAGATTATGGGGCCAAAGAGGAAAGTGATTAATGATGTAGAGTTTGCCTAAGGAGAGTCACTTGGAGAGAAAACATTCTCTCAGGCTTTCATGGAGAGCACATTGGCCAAGCAATGGCTGTGACTTATCCACATGGCTGACACTGACAAAGGATCTACACTCTGAGGTACAGGATCTCAGGATAAAGCCTGAGGGGATTTGACTGACCTTATCAGACCCAAAAGCTACAACTCTTGTTGCATAGGTCCTGCTTTACCTTGGTCTTAACCATCCAGCAGAAAAGTATAAAAACGAAGTATAAGAAGTAAAGCCATGCTGTTATGTTGAGCTGTAGGGGACTCAGGTCACCAATTTCTGACATTACAGTGAAGCGGGCGACCCAATACTATTATGGACTACTAGACTCTTAGAATATTTTGCTGAGTTAACACACCTATAATATTAGATAACGGAACTAAACAAAAAAAGGGAATATAGATGAATGTCCATTTTGTATCTGTGTATTCAAAATGGTTAGGATAGATATATAGTTACATTCTCTTAATGAATAGAGGGATTTGTTCTAATGGTGTTTGTAAATAGGATATCATGTCCGCATCTTGTACAGCAATTGACCACTAGGAAGAATGTATGCAATGTGTTAATTATTGAAACTTTCCTACCAATTTGGTTTGAAAAAAAGAAAAAGAAAAGAAAGTCCTCAAGATTACTTTAATTGAATAAATACATAAATAACGTCTTATTTTTCCATAAAAATTATACATACTCATTTTTCTCCCTGGGAAATTTAGAAAACAAAACATCAGTCAATGTATAACTGCTAAAAAATCATCTGTGTATCTTTTCTTTTTATTCCTATGCATGCTTTTCTTTTCCTTATTCTTTAGAATTTATATCCTTTAATAAAAATTGACATGAAATAAAAAAAAACCTGCCTGGAACTTAATAATCCAAAAGATAAATAAATAGATATTTATTCAGAAAACATTTTATTCATTCAGTTAGGCAAGAAGAAAAAGTTCTAGGGATCTGTACAGCAATGTGTATATAATTGACAACATTCTCTCCTTGAAGATGTAAGAAGGTAGAGTTCATGTAATAGATATCTTACCATCAAACCCTGCAAGATGCTAGTGACATAAAAATATATCATGATGGCTCCTGCTCTCAAAAGTATTTGCCACTTAGCATGGGAAATAGCAAAGATAAACTTGCTCTATTAAGAGACGTCTTAGTTTGTTTGGATTGCTATAACAAAATACTATAAACTAGGTGGCATATAAATCAAGGAATTTTTTTTTTTGCAGTTCTAGAGCTAAGAGAATTAAGATCAAGACATTGGTAGAATCAATGTAATCAAGACCCATTTCGAGGTTCATAGTAGTCCACGTGGTGGAGGACAAATGACCTCCTTTGCATCTGTTTTATAAGGGCATGACCCCATGCCTAAGAGCAGTGCCTTCATGAGCTACATGATCTAACCACACCCTCAGCCTGTGCTCTTAGCATAGTTACACTGGGGTGTAGGCTTAAGCATATGAACTTGAGTAGAGGGGTGATACATCTGGATTCTAGCAAGAAGTAGGTGCTATCCTAGAGGTCCAGGCTATAATGAGAACCCACAGGGGCCTCCTGACATAGGCTTATGTCAGAAGAGAAGACTTAGAAGTTGAGAATGAAAGGATGAGGATGACTCATAATTTAGAAAAGAAAAAATGCAAATGAGAGGCAGGGATTTTTGTGAAGAGATGGAGATTGAGCGGTTGCTGCTGCATTCCTACCTTGAGCAGCAGTCCTACCTTTAGCCACATAGAACCTGGGAGCAGGAGATTCAGAATCGAATCTCTCATCCCTCCCCTGTGAGATTTTTTTGATCTTCAGCTACAGTTTTTGTCACTGTCAGCAACTTTATCTTCAAACATGATGGCTAGCAATGTTACAAACAATACCAACAAGACAGATCCTCGCTCCATGAATTCCCATGTGTTCATTGGAAATCTGAACACTCTTGTGGTGAAGAAATCTGATGTGGAGGCCATCTTCTCAAAGTTTGGCAAAATTGTGGGTTGCTCTGCTCATAAGGGCTTTGCCTTTGTCCAGTATGGGTTTTTTGTTTTTTGGTGTTTTTGTTTTGTTTTTTTTTGTTTTGTTTTGTTTTGTTTTTGTATTTTAGGGAAGGGTCTACAGAGTGTTCAGGGTCTCACTCCTAGATCAGACTCATAATGACCTGCCCACTTACAGCCTCCCAAGAGCTGGGATTACATGCACTTGCCACAACACCCAGACTCAATTGCCATCTCAGCAAGGCCCTGTCTAGTATGTTAATGAGAGAAATGCCCAGGCTGCTGTAGCTGGAGAGGATGGCAAATGATTGTTGGCCAGGTTTTAGATATTAATCTAGCTGCAAAGCCAAAAGTGAACAGAAAAAGCAGATGTGAAAAGTTCCACAGTGGAGATGTACAGCTCCTCTTTTGACGTGGACTATGACTTTCAGTGTGATTATTATGACAGGATGTACAGTTACCCAGCACGTGTTCCTCCTCCTATTGCTCGGGCTGTAGTGCCCTTGAAACGCCAGCATGTATCAGGAAACACCTCCCAAAAGGGCAAAAATGGCTTCAATTCTAAGACTGGCCAGTGGGGATCTTTGTCCAAGTCAGGAAAGTTGAAAGGCAGTGACCTTCGGGCCATTAAGAAGGAGTTGACTCAGATAAAACAAAAAGTAGATTCTTTACTGGAAAGCCTGGAGAAAACTGAAAAGGAACAGAGCAAACAAGCAGTGCAGATGAAGAATGATAAGACCGAAGAGGAGCAGACCACCATCTCCCAGAAGAAAGATGAGACTAATGTGAAGATGATGTCTGAGGGTGCTGTGGAGGAGTCTGCTGTGGAAGGGGATCTACTGGATGAAGATGAAAATGAAGATGGGGGAGGACCAGCTGGAGTTGATCAAGAATGATGCAAAAGAGGCTGAGGAAGGAGAGGATGACAGACAGCGCCAATGGTGAGGGTGACTCTTAAGCACATGGTTTGGTTTAGAAGTCTTGTCCCATTATTTCTTTATCTAGGCATTGTTTAAGATCAAAATTTCACCAGATCCTCTCCCCTAGTATCTTCAGCATGTGCTCACTGTTCTTCCTGTGTCCTACCATGTTCGTAATTGCCTTGTGCCTAGTACCATTTTCACTTCCTTTGATGCTCCTAGTAGTTTTGTTAAGTCTTCTCCTATAATTTTGCTTTTTAATTTTGATACCTCTTTATGACTAAACAATAAAAAGGTTGTATGGCTTTTATCAGCTGTCTCCACAATAGTCTCTCATTATGCAGGCAGTATGGTTATTTCCATTTATACATGATTTCAGTAGTTGCTTCCCTAACTGCAAAGGCAACCTCATTTAGTGTAGTATCTGAAAGCAGCTTTGTTTGACTTAACGGTTACGTGTATCACCCCACATCAAGTACTTTGTGGGGCTGTTAAACACAGATGTAACAATGTATTTTTGTGAATGAGCGTATGTCAAATGTATCCTCTAGAAAAATTAGTGTAATAGTCTTTGTTTTCTAAAGTTGATACTGTGGATTATTTTTTGTGAACACCTGATATTTGGGATCTTTTTTCTTAAAATAAACAAGTCCTTATTAAACCAGGAAAAAACAATGAGGGACAAGCAGGAAGGAGACTATGAAAGGTAACCCTTTATAGGAAAAAGAACATAGCAAAGGAAGTCAGGGCATGTCCAGATGTGCAAACTGGGGTAGTAAAAAAATGCTTTCAGAGAATGATAGGTAGCATAGCTAGGACACCACAGGAGTAGAACTTGGGAGGGAGAGAGGGGCCATGTGTTGTCTGGCTGTGTGATTAAGCATCGCTAGTAGATGGCAGACACAGCTGAAATAGAGGGGCTCAGGGTTACAGAACTGGTCAGGCTGGATGAATAACCCTACAGAGGACTGTTGCACACCCCAGACCTTTGCCCAGAGAATCATGGTGAACTCAGTCCCGGCTGGAATTGATCTCTTAAAAGAGGCCCATATGGGCTGGGGAGATAGCTCAGTAGAATAAGTGCTTGCCTGACAAGTTAAAGGTCATGAGTTCAATCCCCAGTACTGCCAAAAAAATAAAAAATAAAAAAATAAAAAAAAAGAGGCCCAGTCACCTACTCCATCTGTTGGCTTCTTACTAGCAACACTCCATTCCTATTGAACTCACTTTGTGGCACAGGCTGGCCTTGAACTCGCAGTGATCTTCCTGCCTCAGCCTCCCAAGTGCTAGGATTACAGGATGCACCACCACACCTGGCCAACTTTTTTTCTTTAAAAAAAGAAAAAGCAGAAAAGAGTCAGAGTACCAGTCCGAGGGATTTTTTTAATCCAGATGATCTAGAATAGAATAAAGAGATAAGTAATAAAAAAATTCAAGAAAATGAAAGCAAGAACATTAGAATGGGTGTACTATTTCATGTCCTTGTTTTTTCATTTGTATGTAGGCAAGTGCACATACTGGGCTATAACATAAAATGTATTATTTTATTGTAGACCCTGGTCCACAATGTTTAAAAAACGCTGATGTAGAGCATCTCACCAGCTGTTGACTGTATTCTGAACTCAACCTGTTTTGTTTAATTTTTGTTTCAGAGCATAAAGATAGCATACTTATCAACTTAGATGAAGTTAATCATACAAGGTAAGTCAGTGGGGCTACAGGGATCTTCAGAGACCTCATACTTGTCATTCACGTCATCTGCTTGTAGAGAATGATATGGTCTGAAGAAATGGCCAGAAATGGAAATAAGTTTTAAATAACTCTATTTTTTTTCTTTTCCCTCTCCATGTTCTTTCCTTTCTTTGCAGTACTGTGAACCTAAGACCTTCATACTGAGCTATATCCCCAGCCCTTTTCTTTCTTTCTTTCT